ATTAGCATGAACCTCTTTGATCGCCTCGGATTTAGGATGGTTGATTCTTCAAGAGCAAATATCGATTGATTTTCTTGTGGCTTCTTTAAATCAGTAGATAACTCCATTGTGCTCAACGTCGGCGACGGTTGTGGGATAGGCACGATAGTTGAATCGTCCATTTCTTGCTTGAGAATTGTTGACATCTCATCATCCGTGTATTGTTCTAGTAAAGAGACATCAACAGGGCTTTGGTTCATGAACTCAGAGAAAATTTCGTCTCGTTCTAAATCATTGAGTTCATCAAAAGATAGATCGTCTTCTTCTTCAGCATGATTTTTGTTTCTGTCCATCTCCACCAAACTATTTGCACATACATAACACGAAAACAACAGATGATTTTCTTAGATCCAAACCCTAAAGCAACTATTTGAATAAATGAAAAGCCAAAAGTCATCACCTGATGATAAGCTCCGACAAGTGAAGTTTTCAAAACAAGTGCAAAGTCAGAGAGGTCAAGTGTTATGTATTGGGATGTGAGAGAGAAGGCAATCTAAAAAAATGAAATCAAGAAAATTCTAGAACAAGATAATGAAATCTTGCTTCAGTTTATAAACAAGACAAATATAAATAAACAGGTTTGGCTTTGCATTTAATTTGTTATCAGATTTAACGAATATGATAGCTTGGTCATATCCTAAAAACAGATGTGCATGAATTTTTTTTTCTAATGATATATAATGTTCTTTGTCATAAGCCGCTCTCAACTCACATATTCTTTGTCAATTACGCTTGTGTCAGGTCAAAAAAGGAGTAAAGAGGCTCTTCTCTTCATTCATCATTGAAAATTTGGTTCTTGAGAATGTAAGAAGTGAAAAGCTTGAATTTGATAAAGGATAATTTGTCATTCTATACTTAGAGGGCTGGTAAGAATCATCGTCCTTTTGTTTTTAAAAAATCACCAAATGAATGTATCGGGCTGTGACACTGGAAAATCATTACTTTACAAGTTTCTATTTTTCGCGCGGACGTTTACTTCCGTACTTCGGTCTGGCTTTAACGGTATGTCTTGCGCACATCGACATTTGTGGAAATCAATAATTACACAAACGGGTGTTTAAATTAAAACAATTATCATGATTAAAATGCGCAAATCTTATATTATTCTTTTCTCTTCGGCACGTCCTTATCGCGTGCGACAGTCTAGGAGGGGCATATTAAACTCAAAAGGAGGAGGAAGGAAAAAGAGATCTCTTCAACCAGAAAAGGAAAACAAGATATTTTCAACGATATCTTATTGGGAAATTTGATAGATTGGTTCATACATAGACAATTTCCAGCCCATTTACTCTTTAGGTAGTAAATCTAAGATGTGCAAGTAACTAGGTTAGGTTATGTATGACAATCTGCATGTCCATTCTGTAAACCCCATTGTTGAGCCAATATAGAAATATATCCTGTCAGGTACTTAATTTCTGAGCTTGCAACATGAAACAAAATTTGACAACATACCATTTTCGCCCGGATAAGTTCATCTAGCATTTCAGTAACTCATTCATTTTCTGGATTCCCACAATCCTAGAAAATTACTCAAAAAAGGAAGTCCTCTTTGGATTGTATAGTGCATTGCCGTTTTGGTTACTTTTACAAGACCCATTTTTTTTTAGGGATAATACCACAAAAAATCCAAAACTGGTACACTTGTGACAAATTTACCCCAGATTAATTTTTTGACCACCAAAAACTCCAAACTGGTACATCTGTGACAATTTTACCTTCTGTTAGTTTACGTTAAATTTACCATCAAATTTTTAAGTTGGATGACATATGGTAGTTGACAGGTGTACCAGTTTGAGGTTTTACCCTCCGTTTGTCACAGGTGTACCAGTTTGTGATTTTTCGTGGTATTAATCCAATTTAACAAAAGGTAAATTTGTCACAAATACATCGGTTTGAGGTTTTTGGTAGTCAAAAAATTATTTTAGGGTAAATTTGTCACAGGTGTACCAGTTTGGATTTTTGGTTGTCAAAAAATTAGTTTGAGATAAATTTGTCATAGGTGTAACGGTTTTGTGGTTTTTTGTGGTATTAAGTTAATACTATTAACCCAAAATATTTTTAACAAAAAAATAGTTTTAATACGGAAAGCCCGGTTGCATGGTTATCGATATTATCAATTCTTTGAAGAAAAAAACTGACATTTATCATAAATAATGACACCCCTCTCATAGTCATTAGCAATTTTGAAATTTTTGCTTGTCGTTTAAAAATTAAGATTTTCTCACGTTCGATAAACAATCACGATTTTAGTTTGAATTGAAAGTACTTCTTTTAATGTTATAAGGAAATAAACATGCTGCTTTTCTTAGTTCTAATAATTGATATTTAGCTTAACTATATATAGCTTATGAATGAAAATATCACGGAGTAATCAAATAAATGAAAAGTATAATCAGCACTTAGACATGATAAACGTTGTCTAGTGAAAAAAAAAACTCGATAACCATTTATTATTTGGCAACCAAAGATTAATATTTTTCTATGAAGAAATGCGTAAATAAAAAAATAGACAAGTTAAACGATTTCACTATTTATAAATGAAAACAAAATAATAAATGTGACCAGAAGGGACCTTATTTAACGAAAAAAATGTAAATATAAATTACCCTAATTACTATATTGCTAGTTGCAATCAAATCCATGAGTCTACTTAGAAACGGCTCTCAAGAGAGCTGAGCAACATATCAACAAACAAATATATACATAGACTATTCCCTCCTATTTACATTTTAGGTAATATATCTTAGATGTGCGAATCTCATTAAGTAACTAGTTTATTTTATGTATAGACAATTTGCATGTCCATTATATAAACACCATTATTAAGCCAATATAGAAATATATCCAGTTTGGTAGTTTATATATAGACAATTTGCATGCCCATTATATAAACCCCATTTTGAGCGAATATAGTAATTTATCCAATTAGGTGCTTAAATATCTGAGCTTGCAACATGAAACAAATTTGACGACTTACCTTTTTCGGCCGGATATGTTCATCTTGCATTTTCAGTAACTCATCCATTTTCTGGATTTTCCCAATCCTGAAATTTCCCAGAAAAGGATGTCCTTTCTTTTTTGGTCGAAAGAAAAGGATGTCCTTTAAGGAGGGATAATTATATAAAAAAATCCTAAACCTATAGTACGGCAGCCAATTCAGTTCTAAGCATTTCAATTGTGCCAATTTAGTCATAAATCTTTTGACGATTTACCAATTTAGTCTTAAACATTTTTTGTGTCAATTTTGTCCTAAACCTTTTGAAAATTTGCTAATTTAGTCATAAACCTATTGTTTGGATATTTGGCCGGAAGGACTACATTAGCAAATTATCAAAACGTTTGGGACTAAATTGACAAATCATCAAAAAGTTTAGAACTAAATTGACACAATTAAAAGGTTTAGGAGTAAATTGAAAAATCATCAAACGGTTTAGAACTAAACTGGCACAATTGAAAGGTTTGACTAAATTGGTCACCATACAATAGGTTTATGATTTTTTAGACATTTTCCTCCCTTGAAGGATAGTGTAGTTCATAGCCATTGAATGCCAACCGTCTCTCGTCGAATTGTGAAGTAACTTAGGGTACGAATGATAACCATTCAGTTTCATAAATCAACTTCTAACCAGAAATAGATTTTTCTATTTGTATTCCCTGGACAAGTTTTTTAGCAAAAATACTCGTTTGATAACGACACATGATTTCTCTCTTCCGAGCGGTTGGCGAGTGAGTGGCGGTGTATGGCAGGTGTTAGCGGGTGGCAGAGGACTGCGGCCAACAACGGAGGACAATGGGTGGCAGTGGCCGATAGCCGCGAAAAGGTGGAGGACAGCGATGGGAGGCGGTGGGCAGCGGAGGACAGTGGCAGACATTGGAGGATGACGACGACAAGCAGCCGGTGCCGGGCGATGGAGGACGACGGCGAGAGGCGAGAGGCAGCCAACAAGTGGCGGTGGGAGGCCGCCAGCGGGTGTGCGGCCGGCTAGTAGCGAAGGCGAGCGATGAAAAGAGTTTTTATTTCTCACTTCTGTTTTAGAAATAGAAAAGTATTTCTATTCCAAACCTAATTCTGGAGTAGAAATTTGTTCCAAAAAATAGAAAAATGAAATTGTATTGCCAAACAGATTTATGTTCTATAATCTGTTCCTGGGAACAGAAAAATAGAAAAATAGAGAAATAGAATGGTTATCAGACACGCCTTTAAAGGCCGTTTGGTTACTTTTACAACACCCATTTTTCTATCAAAAAAATAGTTTTTAGCATGAAAACATCATTTGCATAGTTATTGATATTATGAATTATTTGAAAACATAAACTAATCTAATCTGTTATCTTTTTGAAGGCAAAAGAAAATCATTCTTCATTTTGGAAAAATGGTTCTGGTTACCTCTATTTATAATTTTGGATTAATAGCGGAAAACGATTGTAGATCTCTTTTTTATGTAAGAACTTATATCTTGTTCTTTGTCCCAAAACTTTGATGAGAGCTAGTAGTGCTATTGATTCTTGTGAGAGATGAAATTACTAACTCAATGACAGTTGCATATCTTCATCATAAACAGTGACCCCTCTCATATCATGTCTTAAGAGCTAAGAGCTATTAACCTTTTTGAAAATTCCGGTTTGTCTTATAATAATTAAGATTTTCTTACATCTGATAAACGTGCTACTTTTGTTAGTTGATATTTATCATAGCTTATGAATGAAATATGTCATGGACTAACAGAATAAGTGGAAAGTATAATTGGCATTTAGACATGACAAATATTGTTGAGTGGAAATGATATTAGATGAAGATCTATTAGTTGGCATAACCAAACATTAAATTTTTTTGTATCAAGCAACGCTTAAATAAACTAAAAACAAATTAAATGACTTTACTATTTATAAATAAAAACAAATATAAACGTAAGTAAACGGGACCTTATTCAATAAAAAAAACAAAAGTAAATAAAAACGGCTTTCAAGAGAACTAAGCAACATATAAATTATAAAACAAACAAATTTAAATTACAAGGGAGAAAGTTCAAACTCCAAGACCCTTTAACCTAACCTCTGTGGAAACAAATACATGCAAAAGGGGTGCAAAAAGTGTCATCACTTCCTAAACTTTTGTATCTCCAAAACAATGAGAGTTACAAATAGAAGACCAATGATAACTCCATAACCAACATTCCATTTCTGTCCCTGTTCGCCTAAATGAATTCCGTAGAAAACATTCGCGATGGCAAAAATAATCAAAATCCGTCCCACATTATGGTGATACCAATTCCAATATTCTCGCACTTTCGATCCCTTTCCCGGTCGAGCCAAAATTGCCATCACCTGCCAAATTCCATATAAAAAATAGAAAAAAGATATACACATTCATTAACTAAGGAATACCGCAAATACATACGATAGAAGATGAGATCAGGAGAGGAAATAGTGTAGATAGCATTAGGTAAATCATTCTCCGAATACATAATAATCTGCAGAAGAAGCATTGCAAATGAAGGTATATCTATCTCCCATCTTTTGCCCTTATTCATATGTCCAAAGAAACTTATATTTACATATAGTAATCCAATGTTGTATGTGCATGCCTTGAACTAGATAAAGAAACTGAACTGAGAGAGAGAGAGAGAGAGAGAGAGAGAGAGAGAGAGAGAGAGAGAGAGAGAGAGAGAGAGAGAGAGAGAGAGAGAGAGAGAGAGATTACCTGGAGGCAGCCAAGAACAAGAATGAAGATGCCCAAGCTCTTGTGGGTGGAGACGTTACTGGCACTGATTTTATGTTCCAACACGAACCCACAGATGATTCCCAGCAAACCCAGAATGAAAGCCGCGGTTTGAACGGCGGTGTGCGCATAGAACCACATCGGGTCGTATTGCTTGCAGTGGCGAGCCACGATTATCCCAACGATCATCAAGATGCTCCATCCCAACATGTTCAGTATCCCATGGGTCTTCCTCAGCCTTGTGTAGGGAGTGCCCTGAGTCCTGGTTTGGCCTGTTTCGCAATTTGCATGCCCAATGACCCCATATTAGAAAAAAGAGCCTTGATCTAGCAGATTAACATCTTGATTGTAGAAAAGTACGGTTGTAACAAAAAAAAAAAGACAAAGATTGACGATTCTCTTAATGGGTCCAAAGTCAATATGCCTCAAGTCGAGCACATGCGTAGATAGCGTGGTGGCACATGTTAATAACTTTTTAACAACTAAACACCAAGAGCATAAATTCCCAACGTCCTAAGTATATGGACCGGATCGATAGATTATTAGTTTTTTTTTTTTTTTTAATTTCTTTCAGATTTTTTTGGCGAAAAAGAATAGCTAAGGTTTATCTTGACTGCCACTAGTTCTTTGGGTAGGTTTGAACTTGTCCATCAATCAATTTTAATTACGTAAAATTATTATTTAAGATATGCATGTACCTGGACCTACTCGAGGTAACAAGGGTGGCAACTCTCCAATCATTTTGCCTGGACAACTATAAGATATATTACTTATGTCAAAGACTTTTTCAAACTCTCATTCAAATAAAATAAAAATATGGAGAAAAGACCTTTTCGAATTTGGGATTAACTGGGGAGTCCTGAGATTGCTTCTTGGTAGCTATCAAACGATGTCAGCATCGATTGGGTCAACTTGGGGGCAATTTCACACCCTATTTCTTTCCGTCCAAAAAGGGGGTGATCAAAACGTTTGACAAAGAATTACGCTCTTCAACTTCTTTGCACCAATGTGACACTTACCTACCCCCTTGACATTGAGAGGTACTTAACTGCTTCAAAAGGATCAAATTACTATTGTCCAAACTTTATTCTATGAAAAGAAAATCATCCGTAAAGTAAGAACTACATAAGTAGAGATATGTCGGTGTTTTGGTAAAACCACTTCCTCCGTCTATCCATACACAAGTTATGCTATCGTTCTCCACTCGATATTTTGTACTATGTGATTGATTGGGTGAATTGAGGAGAGGACGTGGGCTGGAGACATCCTAATTTTTTGTCCTAAATTAGACTCCTTAGAACAGCATTTCAGCATGTTTTCTACGATGTGATTAATTTTCTGTAGATGGGTGAATATATAGATAGTGGTTTTTTTGTATATTTATCCTTTTCCACTTTTTTCCAATGGAGTACAGCCAAAAAGGGTTGCCATCCCACACACTATGATAATTCTCAAGCCAGAAAAAGGTAATGGACCCATCAACACTCAACGCGTGCTTAAAACGTACACTTCGACACATGTATTGATTTACTCAGTTGGTTATAGTTGGTGCTAGCCCCATTTCCATAAAATAAAGTAAGAAGAAAAAAAATATATTGAGAAAAGGAGTGGGCAATAAAGTAACAATCATGGGACAGTTCGAACATCAAGCTATCGACATTTTATTTGAATAATGAATAATATATAAATAATCTAATCTTGTGTAATGACTCATTCAAAATTTAATAATAAAGGATTTAAGCAATTTAATCAAAGAGTTTCATGTCTACAATCTAATTACGTGGTAGCCTCTCTTCCTCTCTTCTGACATCTTTGCACTGTTATTTCGGGCTGTTTCACGTTTGAAAAGGGGAGAAACTATTCTTCTTTCAAACAAGTGCTTGCATTTATTACAATATTCTATGTAAAAACTCAAATTATATGCAGACCGTGCACATTTTAAAACTATATTCTTCTTCTTCTTCTTATCCTTCGTTTGTCATTTTCTTCTACCTTTGATCACTTCCTCTGCATCTTCCTTTTGATGTCTACCAAATTGGTTACGTGTCTGGATCTATCGTGTTCGACCTAGAAGAAAATGGAGTAGTTATCTAATATCTACCCCATAACGCCTGGAAACCCACTAGCCACCTACCACATGGAACCAATCCAACAAACATTAAATCAATTAATTATGCTATGGTTTAAGTATGACCTTTGACATTCGATGTATCGTATTAATTTAGTGATCGAAGGTTGTAATTTGGGAAAGGAACACGAAAGAGCTAAGAAAAGCAAGAGAGCAGTTGTGCTGACCGGAGCCAAAGTTCACGGAGGTTGATGTCATGTCCTGGTGCTGAATCAGCTGATACCCCGGTGAGACCGGCGTGAATCCAGACGGCCCGACCGAGTAAATCAGCCCCGACTCGGGCTGGGCCACGGCGAGCTGGAACGCCATGTAGGTACGGTTCGACTGCGAGGCGATCATGGACGAGTTCGACAGGAGGGTCAGGGACCCCTGGTCGGGCTTGACCTGGGCTGGAGTCTGGCCGTCCAGCGCATACTGCTTCATCATGCCGCTGCCGGACGAGACCCACCCGACCACCGCGCTTGACCCAACCATCAAACCGTTCTTCGAGAAGCCCATGGCTACGTAGGAGTCGGTGGAGGGCGTGGAGAGGACGAAGCTCCATGTGTTTGCGGATGCTTGCTTGTACTGCAATCGCAATGTAAATTCACTAATGATTGATCGATCGCATCACATCCAAAGTTTCAAAACTTTATATAGCACCTACAATGAATTTAACTATAATACAAAAATTGACCCATGACTCGTACGTACTTTGATCGGGGGTTGCTAAGATTTGGAATCTGTTCTCTCAAAAGTTTCCAGTTTCCGAAAATCGCCATAAACTAGAGATCGAAGAAACGTGACATACATCCAACATTGAATCAGCTGGTTGAAGAGAGACAAGAGCCTTACCCTGAGGATGAAGTTCTCAGAGACCCAAGCGGAGATGCAGGTGAGAGAAGTCGTGTCGAAGCGGATGCCGTCGACGTTCAGATTGGAGCTGCACGAGTCCGACGACGACTGCGAGCTCACGGACGCTGCCAGGCCGCAAAGAGAGACGAGGACGAGGATCAACGACGAAGACGCCTTCATCTCTCTGTCTCTCATCTGTTTCACTCTTTTCTCTCTCTCTGGAGGGAGGAAATTAATGGAGGAAGCGTGACATTAATATATGTGACCCAACATGTATGCCCCCAGGATGGTGACGATGTTGCTCCATTATTTTAAGGAGCATGACTGTAACTAACATGTCATTTTTTTATTATTCCTTTTCTAATTTTCCCATGTTTTGTCGGAAAAATCAATAATGCATTTTCTTGCGTTCACACGGCTTTGCCAGTCAAACAATTCAACTTTAAATTTATCTTATCAAGTCCTTGAACCTGCATAAACTTACGGATCAAGTCCTTCCGGCACCAGCACCGATCTGCTTCAAGCTAACCTGGCCATCAGACCACGTCGGACGACGAGGTATAGAACATTTTCCCGTGATGACTTGTCCACAGAGAGAAAGAAATTTCGCGGCGGCTGGCCTTCCGAGGCCGAAGGACTTGTCGCGGTCCAACATGATCCGACAGCCACATCAACTCGAGTCCATCGAGATGGGCAAAAAAAAGGACTTGATTACAAAATTTAGGCAACTTCAGCGACTCGATTGAATAAACCAGATTATAAAATTTAGGCAACTTCAACGACTCGATTGAATAAATCAAAAGTTTAAAAGTTTAATTTCGAAAAGCGCGCAATTTCGGGGACGAAATGTAAATTTCATTTTCTTTTTTCCCTACATAGGGGTTCTTATTTTTATTTTTTTTAAGTGAGGGAAGGTGTATTGCGTCGATCCGACGGCCAGGATGATGCCGTCGGGGAATGTTGGGGAAGGTGATGATTGAGTCTTGGCCGCGTCGCCAACCTTTGCGTTAGTTCTTAGATTCCAAACGGTGACAAATGTCAATTGAGAAAATGTGGAGCAGGCGGTGGTGGGTGATGATTGCTCAGCTTGGCCTTGCGATTCATCTTCTTTGTCCCACAACTTTGCCACAGTCATCATGCCTTTGTTTCTTCAACATCGTATTTTTGCTATCAGGGGAAAAAAAGATTGGGATTTGACTTGATCCGAGACTGATTAATTCATAATATATATCTTGATTATATAATACACAGGTTGTTGTTTCTTCATGTTCAACACGGAACTAGTTTCCGGGGAGCGTCGGTATTTTTTACTATCTTGATTCGGGTTCGAGCTGGACTTCTGATTTAAAACAATCTTGTGAGCTTAGATTTAGAATGGTCGAGCTACTTTAAATTTTCGTTATGAAACTGTCATTAGGGTGCGTTCGTTTTACCGAAAATTTCATGATAAAGGAAAATATTTTCTTCCAAATCATTTTCAAAGAAAATGTCAGTTTTAATTCATTTGGTGATTCATGGAAAGTGATTTCCTTCTACCTGAATGAGAAGCCATTTTCTCCCAATCTAAAATTGTCGTTTTCAGTCCATGAAAAACGTTTTTCGTAATCGATTAGTTTTCTGTCATCCAAACATCGGAAAGTCGAAAAATAATTTTCTTTCAAACAAACGGACCCCTTAATCGACATACAGAAACGGGTATCCATGAGCTCCATATGAAGCAAATGATAATCCAATTTAAGGATGTTATGGCGAAGTTTAGATTGCAGACGAGATGATTGCTTTGAAGAAATCGTACACCGTGTGTTTCCAACTAGCTTGTGGACTCTAACATCCCTTAAATTATCAACTTCTTCACCTAGAGAAGGATCAATCTTTCTGACCAAAAAAAAAAGAAGGATCAATCACTTGTCCTACCCGTTTTGAAGTGTTAACAAATGATTATGGGTAATCCTAAAGTATAGATTTGCGATTGCATATGTTGACGCAGCCCATTCTATGGGAAAGTGTGAGATTGGAAGTTTCCTTTTTGTAATTTTCATCTCTTTGGAAATCATTGGATTGGGACTTCTTATAATGGATGTGAAGATGAAATAGTAAAATGCGTGCGAGGAATTTCGACCAAAAAAAAAAACATTGCATGTCATCATTAAAGGTGAAATTAACATTGGATATCTCAAATGGAATGGTTTTGTTCTTCTAGTGAATGAAGTTAAGTTACGCGTTTGTTTCGCGGAAAATGAATAATTTGAAAAATATTTTCCTAAATATGATCACTTATATTTCCATCGTCTACGAAAATGTTTAGATATAAATTATTACCGATAGTAAAAACATTTTTCATTAACAAATTATATCAAGTGATACAAGCGATCACTTTTGAAAACATTTTTGACAAGATCGTGCGACCCCAAGTGATTGGCCGCCGTGTTTGCGCGATCCTCCGCAAACGTCCGTTAGCGACTATCCCTCAACGACCAGAATCGATACGCGCATTGCCCTTGGTTGAGAGAGAGAGAGAGAGAGACGATGAGCGGTGGGAGAGAAATGAACAGCGCCACTATTCAGGGATAAGAGAGGAATATGAAAAATTGAAATAAAAAATTTCATTAATCATGAGCTCCAGCATTACGAAAATGTCGGATGCCCAATGCTGGTGAGTAGGGGACCCGAGAGAAAGGCATTTGGAAGACTTTGGAAATACGATGCATTTCCCAAAATAGACTCCCAAAATTCTTTACCAAACACTTTAATATTTGCTCGAAGGCCTTTGAAAGATCCAAAGCTCACTCCCCTTGTCCACCACCTTAGGATTAGGCACACATACAACGAAATAGAAAGTAAAATCGAGACACAAAGTTTGTTCCAATTTACCCTTAAATTAGAGCTACATCTAGTAGAGAATTAAACTAGCACCTCTCTGCTCTTTATTACAACCCTCAATAACAAGGGAAAGAGATTATATATAGACAATAGCTATTTATGGGCCTACGAATAAAATACGAGCTAAAACTATAAAAGTCCTATGGCTGCTAGGGGGCATTGCCCCCTACCTGCGACCCCCGCCAAATGGCGCCCCTGCCCCCGTGCCATCCTATCGATGAAGATTATGAACCACACCCTATCATCAAGCTCTAGCCCAAGCTAGAATTCGGGTTTAATTCGAGACTTGAGAAAAACTTAACGACTAATTAAGTCGAGCTCGAATTGAATGCGAATTTCTTTCGGTCAAGGTTGCGATTGCACTCGGTAAGTCGAGCTCAATCAAGATCTGCTCCAGTCTCGAGGCTGGGACCTTGAAAATTCGAGTTGATTCGAGGACATGTATTGAACTATGCCAACTTGACACAGCTTGATTATAAACGAAGTGAAAATAATTCAGCAACTGTTTCCAAGGTAGAGAAAACAGGAAATACTTGCATGGACAAAAGAATCCATAGACCATTACAACTTTTTGGTCATTTGTATCACATAAGGGCCTCACGTAATCAACAAAAAGGACAAATAGGGACCAGTATCGAGTCCAAGTTCAATCTACGAACAGGTCGGAAGTTCCGGGGAAAATTGGTTTAAATGGGGCAAATTGGTAGTTCTAGGCTTTGAGTCAGCAATTCTACCCGAGAACCCGTTTAGGCCCGTTGATAGCCAATTCCCTTTATCGTTCTTGATTGAAACCAATTATCTTTTAACCATTGAAAAACCGAACGAATCCAATTTCGGACGGAACGGTCCCGGTTCCCAATTCCGATGAACCGGGACTTACAGGATCGGTCCGAGGTGCCAGCTCTTGAACCGATCACCCCTAGCGACATGCTCCGATCCATGTGGACCAAAAGCATTTCCTCGAGATGAGCGATGAACAAGCCCGAAACCTTTTCAAGCCCAAGATCATCGTACAACAAATGCTGAGCCGGAGCCCAACGACGGACGCACGTGTGGATTGTTTCAGTATTTGTCGTTTTCCTCTTTCGTCCCTTTTTATTTTTGGGGCCGCGCTATCTTCTTCGCTTGTCTTTCCTTCTTCTCGTTTTCTTTCTCGAGGCGATGACTGAATATGATCAGATCGTGGTGCTGAATGCGAAGAAGAAGAAAGCCATCACCTTTGCTCTTTGACCCCTCTCTCTCTCTCTCTCTCTCTCTCTCTCTCTCCCGGCCCGAGGTCCAAGGGAGGGTTCGCGCGTGAATCAGACATAACGTAGCGATTCATCTGGGGGTCCAGAGCTCTCCCGTCGTCCTGCCATGGACTCCAGTAACAATGCGCCGGGTTCGCTTCTTTCTCGCCTTCTTTTTCCATTCTTGACGCAATTATGGGTGGCAATCGAGCTTTCGCCTTCCGTTGTGTGGTGACTGCTCTTCGTCTTGTCTGATTTGGGTTCCTGTTCGCTTTGAATCCTGCGGTCGCTTACTGGAAAGGGGGGGTCTTTATTCTCGCAGCCGAATTTGGTGGGAGTCTGGAATTGAAGTTTCGATCTTTTTGCTTGGGTTTAGTCGTGTGTGGTCTCTTGTGTTCTGGGTTTTGGTTCTTCTTTACGAGCTTGGCTGCTTTTTCCGTCTATTGGGTCTCGCCGTTTATGTATCTTTTAGGGCAATCGTGGGTTGGTGTCTTTTAACTCTTTATCTGCTTGAATGATCCGTGTTTTCTAGTGATAATTGAACGGGGGTTTCATATTGGGTGTTGCCCTTAGAGTGATTAGTCTTGAGGCAGCTGGTGCAAAGTCGGGCCACTATGTAAAATCGATCCTGACCATCCGTCCTTCTTGTTTGTTTGCTGTAGTTCGTGACATTCATTCCCTGTTTCTGCAGCTAATGGTCCACCTCCCAAGCCATGGGAAAGAGCCGGGGCTTCGTCGGGTCCTGGACCATTTAAGCCGCCATCACCCGGAAGCACTAGTAATGTAGTGGAAGCTTCCGGAACAGCAAGACCCGGTGAAATTGTTTCGACTACTGATAGGACTGTTCCTGTTAACACCAATTCTATTGCCAGGCCGGTTCCCACCAGGCCATGGGAGCAACAATCCTACGGAAACAATTATGGAGGTGCATATTTACTGCTTATGGAGTTGCTTCTGTGTATCTCAGCTTTTGCTTGAAAGAACGATATAACATAAGATGGTTCTCGGTTAATCTTCTGGTAATCATTGCAGGATATGGTTCTGGTCTGAATTATAACTCGGGGTATAATTCGGGGATGCTTGGCTCTTCATTGGGAGGATATGGAGGATCTTATGGGGCTGGAGCATCTTATGGGGGTGGATTATATGGAAATGGAATGTACCGAGGAGGTTATGGTGGGCTGTATGGTGGTTCTAGCTTGGGCGGTGGTTATGGTGGGGGCATGTACAATAGTGGGTTTGGGGGTCCAATGGGTGGTTATGGAGGTGGTTATGGTGTTGGCATGGGTCCCTATGGCAATCAAGATCCGAATAACCCTTATGGCGCTCCCCCTTCTCCCCCAGGATTTTGGATTTCCTTTCTTCAAGTGGTGAGCAAGCATCCACTGATTTTGTGAAGTTTAATGATTTGGTATTATTATTGTGAAAACCAGGGTTAGTCATACAGTATGTAAACTTCTTTTTACATAAGTAGCTTTCCTTATGGCTGATACAGGTTTACTCAACTAATTATCTAAATCAATGTGATAGACATGGTTTGTGTAAGAAACAGTTTGCACAGACTGTATACCTTGTAAAAATCCTGGAACAAAAATTACATTCGTTTTAACTAGTGAAAGCTTTTATAGCTTGGTGCACAACACAAGCTTAGCTGTGGGAAGGTTGATTCTTACTTCAATATTTTGCAAAACCTGCTTAAAAACTACCTATGTCTGTATGTGATTCTCTTTACTGATGAGTAGAAAGGTCTCATTGCACCTGTTGATCGTGAATGTCCCTTTAGGTGACTCGAGTTCTACCTTGATTGAGCCAGTGATTCTTTACTACAAATATTATGTTGGCTATGTTGTTATATGAACTTTTGTGCCTGTGCAAAAACCATGGAAGAGTAAGTGACCTTGCTGAATCTGTGAATAATTTTGTTAACTTATTATATCAATGTTAGAGTGCAATCGAGTGACTAGTGTTGCTGATTTGTTTTTTCGTCTGATGACAGATGCAAGGAGTTGTTACATTTTTTGGCCGCATTTCGATTCTGATAGACCAGAATACCCAGGCATTCCACATGTTTATGTCTGCACTTCTTCAGGTGCTGCTTTCTCCGCATACTGTAATTTCTTCCAGATAAGATATTGCTCGAATTGTGCCATTGAGTTCTGTGGCATCAGGAGTTGCCTTTTAAGCAAGTAGACTCGAGTGTTATGCAACATTGATCATTAACTAATTCACATTCATGCAGCTTTTTGACCGATCAGGATTATTGTATGGTGAGTTGGCTAGATTTGTATTAAGAATCCTGGGAATCAAAACAAAGCCTCAAAAGGTTCATCCACCTGGACACAACGGTATGCCTGGGCTCCCCAATGCTCCCCCTCATAACGCTATTGAGGGACCGAAAGCAGGTCAAAGTGGTGCATGGGATAGTGTATGGGGGGACAAACCCAGTAGTTAAAGACGTTACCACAATAGATTGGATACTCAAGACTGCTGAGGGTAATGATGCTTGACCCGCTCAATAATTGGGGGCAAAATACTATGGCTGCGCCGGCGTAGTCTCTCAATTTTGGTTCGCCAAAGGGCTATTCTTCCTGTGAAGGCTGTAGGTGAAACCTATCCTCCATGAGATGGTTGTGATGTCAAATTACACTGTAGATCACTGTACTTCTAAGTAAAGAATTTCCGTGGCATGTATATGTGGAATTGAGTATGCAATGAGATTTGTGGGGACTCGGAAGGTTCAGTGTTACTACTTTCTGCAGTGTGTATTCAGGTTGGTTCGATCAGCTGAGCAAGATCACCAATTGCGCTACGATGGAGTAAGGGTGTCTGTATTTGATAAATTTGCAGTGTGAAATCACACGTCCTTGCTTTAGTATTTCTCTGATGCCATCATTTCGAGTCGTCTTCTTGATTGATGAGATGATTAATAAGGGTCAAAGCTGAAATTTTTGGATTATGCTGCCGACTACATTTCTCTGAAAGTTTGCTTTCAACTTTAATATTCACATGGACAAGTTCAGGCGTGAATGCATCGAAGCAGGAATCACAAGTAGCTAAAAGAAAGCTAATTTTTGTGCATTGAAATCACGCTCTGACTGATCTTGATTGCAAATCAAATGGGCTGGCCAGCGAGGCTCCTAATAATTCGAGTCAGCTAACTCTGCATGATAATCATTTCGCAGAATATCGTTTCAAACGGTTTGATTGCCTTTTCTGAAACAGTCGCAAAATGTGAATCTATGCTCGGGTAAAGAACCATAAGCATCTTGCACCCATTTCTCAATGCCTCCAACCCGCGGTTGCCAAAGTTCTGATAACGATTCACATGAAGTGTTTCCAGGTTATCGCAGTATGTCTTGATGGATCGCCACCCTGGAAGCTTGACCTCATGGCAGAATGCCAATTGCCAAGTCCCATTCTTCAAGGAACGGGCAGCCCTTCGCAATTTCCAAGATGGGTTCGTCACCAATGAATCCGCATCCCCGAAGCTCAGGATCTTTGAGCCTTCCAGCAAATCCTGCCCCAATTACGGCCAACTTCTTTGTAGGAAGACACCAGCTTACCCAAGAAATATCTAGGAATTCAATCCCACCGCCACTGAAAATTGCCATTATGCCCTCCGTGTCGATCTTACAGGACTCGGCAATGATATGCGCTAGAGTTGGTGAACAGCTTGTTAGCCCTGTGCCTCTTACATCCCTACAGAGGGAAATATTGATGGCACAGAGATTGCGACATTGTTGCGATAGAGCTCTTAAACCACGGTCGCTTGTAAAAGAACAGTACGCGAGATTGACATCCTCCATATCCTTGCAACCACCAGCCAGAGCTCCTAACCCAACAACAGTAATACAATAGCATTTCAGACTAACGACGGTCAAAGATGGGCAGCCAGCAGCAATGGCAGACATTCCATGATCAGTTATTGCAGAACGGTAATCAAGATAAAGACATTGAATAGGTGAACCATTTAACAGCAACAGGGTCAAGCCTAATCAGATAATTCAGTCCGGCCAGAAAGAGACAAGGACTTGAGGTGCTTGAAACGGGCAAGGGCAAGCAATTTATTGAGATGGAAATACTTGACATGAAGATTGCAGTAGGATGGAGAAAGGTTCGACTCGTAATGATCTGCGGCAGATATCTCGAATGTGAAGCCAGCAACGTCATGTTAGACCAAATGATGCATGACCAGAACTACAGCCTAGCTTTTGAAAAAAAATAGCGAGGCAATCATCAGACAGGTGCATGATGGAGGTAAAATGATCTCCAGCCAGATCTTCTATGTCGACTTCAACAATCTTGGGAAGGTTTCAGCAGTCTAGCTTTTGAATCATAAGAGCGAGGTAATCATCAGACAGGTGCAAGATGGGAGGTAAGATGATCTCCAGACAGATGTTCTATGTCGACTTCAGCAATCTTCGGACGGTTGCAGAGCTCGAATCTTTATAGTGAACTTTTTATAAGACGATGTGGACAAGTTCGGGGAGTCAAAGCCACAAAGAGCCAGCGAGTCTCCATATCCGTATCCGATATGAACCCCGCATTTACGGCAGAGGAGCTTTGTCTTCAGGCGCTTACGACCCCAAGCGACTGGGAAGCAGTTCACTTGGTCCACCTGTGTGAAGCGACTGAGGTCAACAGAAAGGAAGGAGATAAAACCTTTCTTTATTGACTTGCGATACTCAGAGCCTATCCCTGAGGTAATCCTATCGGAAGATGTCAAGTTCAGGGGATAACCACAAGATCCACAACTGCAAATGAAAAGAGGAAGAAACTTGCTCAATGATCTCATGCTAATTGTAAGATTGTAACCATCGCAGACACTATCCAAAGGGTAAAACAAGAAGCTACCGCAGGAGAGTAAAGTCTTCGATTTCACGAAAACCAATCAGTCGTGGATTTTCCTCTGGCAAAGCAAGAACAGAAACTGCATGAATCTCAAAAATTGCCATCCACAAGCTTCCTAAATGCTACTCCGTAATCCCCCTAATACAAACCAAGGTTGCTTAAGCAGTAAGAACTTGTTGCTTAAGCGCGGCCTCAAATCACCGCACTTGCGCATTATCTTCGGGCCCTCCGCTAATGATCAACAAAGGGAACAGCCAAATCGTTTTCTAATAGCTTGATCCTGAGTGAGTCAAAACCCCATCAACTCAAAAAACAAGCTACGATCAAACAATACACCGCCGCCCTTCCAAGAGCAATTTACTTCGCGCAGAGAAGACAACCATACATTGCCGCACGACAGGACTACCAAAAACCTCGTCACAACACAGAATTCTCCGGACACAACGGAGAACCGCGTCAAACTGAAGCGACCCAAATGCGGAAATCCACAGAACAGGCGACAAGAACAGCAAAGATCGAGACTTTTCCACAATTCGGACGCAAGAACGAACAGCACACCCATCAGAGGGAAAACAATCAGCAGAGGAAATGAAAAGCAGAGAGAGAGAGAGAGGGAGAGGGAGGGAGGGAGAGAGGGGTGACCTGTAGGAGACGTCAGCGGGGTGGAGGGACATCCTCGCCCGCCCTCACTGTGAATCAGAATGACTTGGCAAACAGCGAGGGATGGCTCAAATCACATGGGAACGATATCATTCTCGAAGGCGTGGTGTCATCCAATGAGAAGGAAGGAATAGATTTTGTTTTCCATTCTTTTCAAGATTCATTTTTCTTTTTTTTCAATTTTTCGTGGCTTTTCTTTTTCTTTTCTTTTTTTTAAATTTTCTTTTTTTTTGGGAGATTTCGCTGTCTCTTGGAATGCACGGGGGGGATCCTTTGACTTCTCAGTTGTCCCCCCTCGTGTCTGTCCCCCTTGCGCGCGTCGTGTTTTCCAGGGCAAAATAAGGAATAGTTTTTTATTTTCCTATTTTTTTCCTTTGACACTAAAAAAAAAAGAGAAAAGCAGAATGAATAATCTATCGTGTCGTATTATATTATTCTCGACACCGGCCAATATAGATATCGACTTAATATAGACTCGACTTCGTACCCTGTACGTTACGCTTTATTATCAGCTAATCAAAACGTGTCGAGTCGTGCTAATTTCGAATTGAATTCGCTTGTGCCGTGTCGAAATTGGAATTTCTTTCAATAAATCCACGGCCTCCGATAATTTTCTTTTTCTGCCTAAATATAGAATGGCATGAACTGCCCCTACTTATTTCATGGAATAGGTCAAACACGAATTAAAATGCTAAGCATGCATCCTAAACATAAGGTACATGCGAACATCGAGATAAAAGAATGGAATCTGTGTATTGTACCTTATTTACATACAGTATATGTTTTGTACACGACATATGTTTATACAATTTCACTACTCAATAATCGCAGATATTCTCTCAATGTGTACATTCATTTTCACATATTATACTCTTAAAAAGCTTACCGCACATATTTAATTAATAAGCACCAATATCTTTAAGCTAAATAATCTCTCAATATCCACTTTGACATATCTTTTGAATTGCAGTGAACTTGAGGATTATTAGTCCAACCGAAAAGCTTTAACCCACCGTTTGTTTCGTAGAAAATAGATGATTTAAAAAATATTTTTCTAAAAGGGATCGATTGTATCGCTTAACAAATGAATGAACGAAAAATATATCCATCATCCACGAAAAAGTTTAGGCATAAACTGTTATTGATAATGAACATATTTTTTATTGACCGATTACTTGGGACAATACAATCAATCATTTTAGAAAAATATTTTCCGGATCATTCATTCTCCGCGAAACAAACGGAGAGTGGAAAAAAGATTTCCCGCATATCAGTGACATTGCATTTCCATATTTGGGTAACTGTATGATATACATTCACACACGGGCAATCAACTGAAATGAAACAGCTCGATAACAGAGTAATACCCAGAGTTAACATCACAGAAAGCAGCTTTATTGTTTGTTTTTCTTTCAAATCTTGTTGATTAAGAGCAAAAGTAGATGCTAACAGTACTATCATGAACTCCTCTAAATGTACTTATAATATGTATAATATGGAAGATGCATTGACCAGTACTGGAAATCTCAGGTCAAGCGATCAATGAACATCAAAACAGATTGGTCAGGTTGGCTATGACCAGGTTGATTGGTTGGAAAATTTGATATCGCAGAGCAACAGTTTTTGAGTGTCCTTGATGTTCACTGATTATAGAAGGTGATACCTTGAATGATAATGGCTCATTCGGAAAGTTCTAATTCAGTCCGGCAGGACACCGGCGGGTTCAGATGTGCAACAGATAAAGAATGAATCGCCACTTCCAAAGTTACGCTTGGACGAAAGGAAGCTTCTCAGTGCACCAAAATTTGATCAGACTGGAATGATCTCAATTACCAAAGAAAACAAGCACCAAACCAAGAGGATCCATTAGATCAACGCCTCCCTCCCCATGTTCTGACTCGATACATCTTAATGTCGAAAGTCACTGGAGAACGAATCGTGTATGCGTTACCATGAAGCTGCCCGCTCAGGTGCTAGGCACATTACCTCTTCGTCCTTGATCTCAACGCCATGTCTGAGCATTTTGAACAGTTCTATTGCGACACCCGAGACGCGAGAACCCCGGCCGATATAAAGAACAGTGAGCTTCTTGCACCCCCTTCTCAGTGCCTCAAGCCCCGGGTCACATAGATTCCGACATCGGTTCACATGAAGCTTCTCGAGGTTATTACAGTGCAACCCGATAGCTTGCCACCCTGGCGTCTTGATCCCATGGCACAATGCCAAGTTCCACTCCTGTAGTAACGGACAACCCCTCGCGATTGCTGCAGCAGATTCATCACCAATAGATCTGCACAATCGGAGGTTAAGAATTTTCAGCCTTTGAGCAAACCCTGAGCCAATTGCAACGAAACTATCAGGACCAAGCCACCAGCCAACGCTGCCAATATTCAGATATTCAAGCCCGCCACCACTCACGATTCCTGTTATTCCCTCTGTGTCAAGCTTACAGGACTCGGCATCTACATATATCAGTGTTGGCGAACAACCTCTAATTCCGACACCAGTTACATCCCTACAATGTGCAATCTTGATGGCCCTGAGATTGTGGCATCCTTGTGATAGAGCTCTTAAACCACAGTCGCTAATAAGCGAACAATATGTGAGATTCACCTTCTGCAGATCTGAGCAACCACTAGCCAAAGTTTCTAACCCAACATCAGTAATATTGCAGCGGTAAAGGCTGATTACGGTTAAAGATCGACAGCCAGCAGCGATTGCAGACACTCCATGGTCAGTAATTCCAAAACAGCAATCAAGATACAGACTTCGAATATTTGAACCATAGGATCGCAATGGGGCCAAGCCTGAATCAGGTAATTCTGTGCAGCCTGAAAGAGACAAAGACTGTAGATGCTGAAAACGTCCAAGTAGTCTATTAAGATGGAAAGACTTGACGTTAAGATTGGGGTGCGATGGAGAAAGCTTCAAGAGGGTGAATGAACAATCAAATTGTAATGATCTACGGCAAATATTCTGAACATGAAGCAAGCGACGACACGTTAAGCCAAACGATGCACGATCAGTACTGTTCTTTAGCCTTTGAAAAATATAGATGAGGCAATCATCGGGCAGGTGCACGATGGAGGCAGGATGATTCCCAGAAAGATCTTCCATGTTGATTCAACAATCTTCTGACGGATAAAGAGCTCAGACTTTCACAGTTAACCTTTTATAAGAAGATGTAAATGATATGGGAGGCCTCAAAGAGGCGGTCAGTCTCCAGAGCAATATCAGATATGAACCCCACAATTAAGGCAGAGGCATTTTGTCTCCAGGCACTCCCAACACCCGAGCCATGAGAACGGTATACGAGATCTTCCCGTCATCCTCATTCAAGATAGGCATAGGGTGGAAAGAGAGAAGCGCATCCAAACTTCATCGACCTGTGTGAAACTACGTAGATCAACAGAGAGGAAGGAGATAAAACCGTTCTTCGTTCTTTTCCGACATTCAGAGCCAACCTCTGAAGTTATTCTACTGGAAGATGTCAGAGTTCAGGTAATAACACAAGATCCACAGCTGCAAACAAAAAGAAAAGGACTTTGAATGATCGATCTACTAGTTGAGAATTCATACACATTCTGTATCGTGACAAGGAAATTCCCCAATGAATAAAAAAATAATCATTTTTTTTGTTTATTCCAACAAAAGGCAGAAAAGAATGACTAGGCAAATATCCTCTCGGAAATTCTGGAGCAACCTACATCGACACATGGTCGGAAATCGAGAATCATTGCATCTTAACAGAGCTTATCCATGTCAACGTGGTATTACTACTCATCTTCGAAACTCGATCAGTCTTCCGAAATCAGCCCCCTAAAATGTACAGAATAAATAACCATTTTTATCAATAAACCAGCAGAATCCCGAACCCGAACCCGAACCGGCTCCGTGCATTTTAGGCCAATGCTGTGTACTCACAAATTCCGATCTTCCTCTCGAAGAAAGGACGAGGTTCAGATACCCATCATAACCAATACACCCAACCCAAGTACATGAACTCGAACGAAGCGCTTCGCTATCTCAAACCATCATCAGATTGATGAAAGCACCAGTTTTTTTTTGCTGCCGCTAGCTCAACAACTAGAGTTCAACAACTACCGCACAATCACACAGAACGAGCTCCCGCCCCTCCCTCCCTCCCTCCCTCCCTCTCCCGACAAGAAATGCAAAGCAGGAACTCTTCTCCAATCACCCAGCGCAACTTCACCATACAACCTGAATCGCAGCAGAATCAAGCGATGCCAAAACGATCGTCCCGCGGACACGATCTTCGGCAGGCTTTCGCAGAGAGACGAGAGAGGATTAGAGGAACTTACGCGTGGGGGGTGGGGGGACATGGGTATGGTCGAGGGACGTGTCTTCGCTTCCGCTCTTGATTTTGAGAGACAACCCAGAAGAGCAAAACGGTGGATGAGAAGCAAATGAGAAGGAAGGAAGAGAGAGAGAGAGAGAGGGAGATCTTTCCGCTTTTGCTCCTCGTTTTATGTTTCTCGTAGGTTGTGCGTCTCTTGAGCGTTGGCGTGAACTCAAGTGCGTCGTTTTATGGCTGTTCGGGTCGAACAAGAGCGTCGTTTTGGCATAGGCCTGTTTTTCTCCACCACATAAATACGGCTTCATCGAAAAAACAAATGTGGTAAATTGGTACTCAAATCCTTAACAACTGTGTCGGCGCCAAGGATGCCATGTGGCATTACGGTTCGCCCGTTGATCGATGCCGTGATTCGAAGTTGCAATCTCGTGAGAGAGCGTGCTAGTATCGGGGGCTGCTCGCCCGACTATGCTACGGTTCGAAGTCGCCGTCTCGTGAATGAGACACTACCATGCTCATCCATGAGGCTGACCAAAGCTTAAAGTTTCGGTACTTCGATTCCTAAATCGCCATTTCCTTTTGCGAGAGATTAACTAACATCCGGGCAGATATCTCAACGATATTTCAGGCTTTTAGCAGCTGAAGTGCAAAAGCTGGCAACATTAATATGACGATATAAAAGTGACGATATTCATGTTTGTAACCTATCAATCATGTGCAAACCACAACACTTCCGTAAATGTTATTTTCGAAAGGTTGACATTTAATTTCGGTATAGTGACACAAAAACTGCAAATTTTGCTTGGCTAGACTTTACCCTGGAAGGTGATATAATCGAATGAACCCAGTATACGAACACTGAATAATTGTGATGGTACACCATTGCATAGAACATGTATAAATGTATAAGATCATCTCGGGTTGCTGATTTGTGTCACCATAAAAGTTGTCCAGAGATACTATACAGCCCCCGCAGACGGCCGATCACGACCTCATACTTCTATTTGAGTGGCAAGAGCGAAGAGACTAAGATTCAATCAAGTGCAAACACAATTAATCCCAGGCACAAATGAGGGAAACCAAGATACTTCAAAGCGAACTGGTGGATTAACTCATATTGGAGTAGAAGTTTATAAACAGTGTCAGTCTCCAGCACATGGACTCTGAACAGAAGGCCTATATCTACACTTCAACTCCACTTCGCCAGAGGTATCACACGAGTTTCAACCCAATGATATGCGTGGACGGAAGGACCGACATCGCTGCCCAACACACTTCAAAGATATCACAAGACATAATAACCTCCGAGTACACCAAAAGTACATATAGGGAGTTCAGTCATCCTCTGGATCATCGAAATCCTTGACCTTCACGTCCGCGTCTTCCCCATACTGGATGCAGTTGTCGATTTGGGACAATATATATTGTATGCTGCAAAGAGCACATCAAATTTTCCTTTAAATCAATGAAAACATGTCCACAGACAATTGCATCATTACATTCCTCAGTCTATTTAAGCCCTAAATCACTAGATGGAAAAGGCCAACAGAGACAAAAGGAATCTGAAGTTCTTATAGCTTCCCAGAAATTTCTTGTTTGATACATGCTAGTAGTTTAACTTGGCATGAGTAATGTTTTCATATAGAAAGGCCATATAGCAAATACCAGAGGAGGGGAGCTTCTACACAAAACTTTAGAACAGAAGACATACAAGAGAACAAGGATTTACAGAACGAAAAACTAGTCTGACAAAACAAACCACCAGGAGGGATAATCATCTAAATTGGAGAAGCAACAAGTTTTCAATAAACTTCATCTCCATAACCTACAATCCCACAAACTTGTGGGAATTTCAGGTGCTGCAATCCAGATATTTTAGCTGATTCATTTCATTTAAGTAAAAGTTCAGTTTTCCACAGAACAAACCCAAATCATCCAATCATGTGCTCAAAATCCCATGGCAAGCCACATGCTGCTGTTTTAAAAAGAACAAGCAGAACCGTGCTCTATGATAAAACAAGTCATACTGAGTCGGATACTTTCACAGCCTCTCTCAAACTTCGGACACTAGAACAGAAATGCCATGAACTCGAAAGACAGAAATCCCACTGAAAATCTCTAACCATATAAAAACAACCAATACGAGTACTCTAAGATTTCATCGGCACAACTGAACCTGAAAGGTGTTCATCAACAAATAACCTTTAAAGCAAACGATGTTTCCAACTGAGCATGAGTGCATGCTTGCTCGTTTGTGTAAGACAGTAGGGATGCAGCAAAAGAACAACAAGGGCATGAGCAAAGACGCGACAGCATATGCACTCAGATTGGCATTCCTATCGACAAACATACACATATCGACATACACATATCAACATACACAAACACACACTCAGAGAGAGAGAGAGAGAGAGAACCTGCTCTCTTTCCTTAAATCAAGAGGCACGAAGCTCACCATGCTATATTCATCCACCTATATCAAAAACTCATTGGAGTTAAGCAATGAGAAATGTCCCCAGCAAGATTAGATGACTAGTTAACAAATGCAAAATTTATTTACCGAAAATCATGAATAACAACAACCCAAATCAAAGGAGAATGACTTCCCAGGTACTTATAAGCTATGATGCAAAGAAGCCAAAATGCCGCAACAGCATACAAACATAATGCCAGTACAAAGTACAAAGCGCCACAAAGATATTCAGTTTATTCACCAATTACAAATGAGAACTGACGGAATCTTTGAAAGCAACAAAAGAGCAGTTCAAAAGAGAATCTGTATGTATTTCCATTTCTACGCCACGTGTCAACTTATCATCCAATATTAATTGGCAAATAACCACAGATTGCAATCACTAAGTTTTGCCAGTATACATATAAAGCAGATACCTCACAACCAACTCTGCCAAAGATTTATTGAGCTTCTCGAACTTAGGATCAAGCAGTTCAAAAGCAAATCTGCATGTATTTCCATTTCCAGGCCATGTGTGCATTTATCGTCCAATAGTATCTTGCAAATAACCTCAAAGTGCAATCCCTACTAAGTTTAGCCAGTATACATAAAGGAGATACATCACGTACCAGTTCTGCCAAAGCATTATTGAGCTTCGCAAACTTAGGAGCCATCGTTTGGTTCAACTCCGACAACAAGACTCGAGGCTCCGGATTTAAGTAACTAAATTAAGAAAAACAAAGTCGTCACTCATCAGACATTTCAAATATGCGAAAGAAGCTTCCCTAAAAGGATGAGGAACTCACTCATCAATATCTCTCTTGTTTTTCACAAGGTCCATTTTTGACAGGATATTGACATGGGGCAATTCGAGTTGAACCATGGCAGAGAGAGATGCCATGCATCCACTGATGAATTTGGTCACATCTGTGATGAACTGTTACAAACAACTAGGAACTTAGAGAATATAGATAACAAATCAATTGCCTCAAAATGTATCAAGAGAAAACAAAGTAATTAAAGATTAAAAAAAAAAGGCAATCTCACACAAACCTGTGAATCGAGCAAGTATACCGCACAGACATTGAAGTTCTTACGCTGTAAATGCTCCACAAAATTCCGAAGCACTGGCACGTGTGAGAAAAGTTCTATCTGGCCTGTAAAGTACTTCTTCGTTATCATAGTTCAGATTAATGTGCAGACATTGTAAAAAAAAAAAAATACATAAGCCACATACATGTGCATGCATTCTATGAGAATTATGCATGCAAATGGAATTTGCTTAAAATGATGACCCTTGAATAAGGAAAAAACAAAGTAAAAATCAAGTCCAGATAAAAACTTGCATGAGACATCATATGACCATGCAAATAAGCTAGTTCAATATGAAATATTAATGATCAGTGAAAAAAGGATCCAAGAGTATTTTGACATCTAAACAAGAGGTCTTCTATAATATTCAGGATATCTAAAAGACTAGGCAGAGAATTGCTTATGCAGATTCAATAGTTAGGCATTTTATCAAGGGAAATAGAATACAAGAAAATACAGACCACCACCCATATACAGACACCAATTCTACATGTCAAAAAACACACCATTAAGAGGTGGGCCAAATTAAGTTTAATCATGTTAAGCTGCTCCAGGAATGTAAAAACGATGTCTAGCAAAGATGAAGAGTAAAAATAGCTATTTGCTAGTCCTACAAGCACATTTCTACCATAACGAGTATCACATGTCAATTGCAGCATTGCCTGTTTGTTCACAATCGTTGAAATCGCTTATTGTGCTATTACCTGGACAGTCGAATACTAAATAATCATCGTCCAAATAGTTATCCAGCTCCTCCGTGAGCCAATCATCTAGGTTTTCTTCAAGATGTCTATGGAGAACATTAAGGTCGTCCACTGTGACCAATAAGAAAATGAGGAACATAGAGAACAGAAGAAGACTAGAGATACTCCCATTCATCAATAGTCTTCAAACCAAACAAAGTAATGAAATAATGAAGCCTTTAATAAAAGTGACGTCATTAAGAGAAGTATCAAGTGCGGACATGAGAGCACAATGGTAAGGGAAAAAGGAAAAAAGCACAAAGCAAATTATATGGATACTCCATGCAGTACATAAGGCCGCCATTTGGGCCCAATCCAAGTTCCTCCATTACATCTTCCAATGAAATGAGCTCTCTAATATCTGCAAGGAAAAAAGAAATTATTAAGAAGAATTCGAAAGAAGTATAAAACAACGCTAAAAAGGAAAGCAGATTCCAGTTACCCATGGCCACAGGATAGTCAAAATTCTCTGCTGCAGGATCTAGGTTAACAATGTGTATCGTCCGCCCGATAGTTTGACAATGTTGATACAAACTCGAGCAGTAAGTTGACTGAAGAAAAAGGGAAGCAAATCAGTCCCAGGATAACACCAATCACAGAACAAACCAATCCGAAGCAAGATCAACGCTCAGAATTATCCAGAGCTCGAGATAGGAAATCACCTTGCCACTGCCAGCAGGGCCGATGACCAGCTGTGCATAGCCCATCGCAGCCTTCAAAACCAGCTATCGAAATCAGCGCGGACAAAGGGTATTGAAGACCCGAAGTGACTCGAGAACGGCAGCCGCAATATACGCGGTACACCAAACCCCCACGGCAAACAGCAATCTCAGCAAGTCAGAATAAGACATAACAAACAGCACCAAGTGCGCAGATCATCTCAAAACCTGCATTGCCCATTCAAAAGAACAACATTAGAGCCCCCCCCTCTCGAAACATCCTCATCAACATAACGCTTAGTGACAGCCACACCAGACACTGCAAGTTTCAACCCAGAAGCTTGCTGCTGCCGCAGAGAATCGTAACCCTACAAATATTTCACGGGGCCAGTTTAATAATCTCTCCACAACCATCCAATTTTCCTAGCCTGATAATCAAAGCCGGGGCTCTACCGGGAGAGGGAGCGCGAACACGAGACCGGACACGGCATGCTCGCTTACATCGGACCCGACCGAATGCATACAAACATCGGAAACTAGGATCGGAACCAAGAATCACGCCGAGGAAACTCGTGAACACCGAACGATCCCCGACAGTGCTCGATCGTTCCAGATACAATTCCAGAAACAAAGACGTAACATCAACAGCAATAGCAACACAGAGAGAGAGAGAGAGAGAGACACCAGTGGTGTGAAGAGGAGCTGAGGTGGGTGTCTTGCTTTCTGGGAAAGCCCTAATCTTGGTACGCTCTCGCGAGGGTTTTAGAGAGAGAGAGAGAGAGAGAAGTTGCAGGGCAAAGTGGTGACAGGTTCGAAGAAAAAGAGCGAAGAGATGGTCCCAAGCGCAATGGAAACGAATATATATGGCCCAAAAATAAAAGAAAAACCCCAAAAGAAAGGAATATTAACTTCTTTTTTTATTAATTTGATGTCATATGTAAATTTCTTTAAATTGAAAAATGGAGGTTAATTTATTCCATTTTAACTAGAAAACAGTACATACTCTATTTCTCAGGGATGACGATGAAAGTTATAGTTGCACTTGCTTCTTTTCCTCCGTTACCCGTTAATGATTTTTGATATACGGATCGTTCCGATGAGTTTGCATATCTTTTACTAGCAAAAGTGCACACGAGTCACGTGCAGGCCAATAGTCGGCATTTAAAATCATTTGCAAAGTTATTATATGTCGTTACAAGAATTTAAATCATCAATTGATTGAAAGAAACGGTCGATACAATGTGAAGAAGTTGTACACATATAGAAAGAGAAAAATATTTTTAGGGTTGGAATTTTGATGGTAAGGTTGTTTATAAGATGGATTAGATTCGAATTTGATAATTGAAGTAGATGAGAGATAAAATGAAGTTATTAATTTATGCACATGTTCATCGCTAGGGCATGTATAAAAATTACTAATTGAGGATGTTTTGGGAAGAAACAAAAGGACTTTGTGCCCTTCAAAGTAAGAGATCCTCTCTACTTATTTTTTGGCATAAATAGTTGTTCTGCCTACTTATCAAAATTTCGAAATTTTTAAAATGAAAGCGAGGGTAATGAAAGCTGCGAAGTTCTCGATAGATGATGATCGACAATCGATTATAATACAGCCAGCCGATGAACTGAAAACGTATCTCAATGAAATTTGGGGAACGATTCCCATGTGGAGATCATCATTGTTGCCCAGGAAAGGTAATGGCCATTGGCCAACACTGCCTTTTACCCAACGCAGATGTCGCATGCATCGGCTCGGGGATCGAATAGGAAGAGGCACAGTTCGCCAGCATGGAGGGTCTATAGTTTCAGCAAGCAGTTAGTTTTCTTAGGGAGCATATCTGCAATGTCCCCACCCTCGAAGTGGGAAGTTCCGAGCAACTACGCACACATTGCGGTAGTTCGCTCTTCATAATTATGAATACAACACGAATCATCATTCTATACATGTACATCACGACATACACCATCCCAATCGTGACTGAATGCCAACTGATTGATGGGCAGCCTCTGCCAGTCCAAGAGCCTATAGAGCTTCGATTTGGGGAACCGACGGCATTATCCATTCAGTCTTTGCTTGCCCTACAAAAGTGGAAGAACCATTATGGATTTAGCAGAAAGTTACAAACAGAACTAAATCGGGGAATGTCCTCGCTCTCAGATGCACAAACCTAGAAGCACATATCATCCATGTTTCTTAACTATACATGTTGACTAACTACGGAGAGAATACTTTAGCCAGGCAAGATGACAATCCGATCGTCAAGACCAATGCATGCCTCACCAAGTCGCTAATATAATGAAAACAGAATATGGTTTTCCACGCATCGAGCTCTTGGCACATTTGCCAAATATAAGTGACAGGTCGTGTTTGACAGCAGCAGATGCAACTTCAATCAATCGAGAGGATATAGTGAAAACTTACCAGGTGACACATATGCTGGCAAGCTGACGTACTTGGGACATGAGCTTTGTGATAAACTCATATCTTGTAGGAGGATAGATCCGACCGCACACTCTCGAGGCTGTAATTACAGTGGAAATTCAGGCAATGCTTGGGTTAAGAAATAATTAGACCTAAAGAGTCAGTATAATAAGGAATAAAAGGAATACCAACATATTGTTAAGAAGCAATTTAGCGATGACCATTATAAAAAACAGCTAATGAAGATCCTAAACAACCTGAGATGAGTTACCCAGCTCAACTTTTAGGCGCAATTTTTTAATAAATGGAGTGAAGAAGACAAGATGGCTTTTCTAGATAGAATCAACACTCGGAACAAAAAAATATGTGATTACAAAAGAGCCATCTCTCTGAAACAAGTTGATAAAACACATACTACAGCCGTTAGTCAAACATTATGACTTCTAACAAAGCAGAAGTTTCTCACAGAAAGGAACTTCTGCGTTTTAGTGTATGAAGATCCTAACCTGAAAGTCCTTATAGAAGCATAAGCGGACCTCCTGCAAAGCTCCATTGGAGCAAGCTATTTCTGGGGTCACATGGAAAGCATTCTGAATTGCAGAAACGATGCCCCCAAGAGGATATTTTTCAGTGGTAGAAGGCAGATATCCAGCATCATTTAGTACTTTCTGGCATCACAGTAAAACACAGAAACCATGTTAATTTGAAGCCAATGCCCCAGATCTAATTGACTACAGAGTCACTGATACTTTCACAAAAGGGATCCCTGCTAGTTTTGAAAGCAACTTGGATGACTAATGCATGCTGTTGTGATGTGTTCGGTGTGTGCATGTACGAATCAGGGCACATGTGCATAAATATGCCAAGTTGTGCCTTGCATGGCAAAGTAAAAGGTTGTTTGACAAGTAGGTGCTAACTGCTAAATGGAACCAAAACCTACAAGGCCGAGAAGCTCTCCATTGGTACAATATTTAGCAAGGATCTTGGCAGCGAATCTAATTAAAATAGGAACAGGGTTTATTATTTTTGTGAAAGGTCAAGAAGTTGAAAGCCATGAGAGTCTCAGTTCACACAGTTTTTGTGGCTTCTTTTCAGCTCCAAACTCACGAACACACACCTCTCTATACTAAATCCCTCACCAAAAGTCTCTCTTATTTGACAGTGTAAAGAATGTGGAACCACCCCAACTATTCCAAAAATTTAAGCTGTTAAATGAAAGCACAGTTAAGTAGTATAAGTATTTTAATGCCTCTCACGTTTAGGCTAGATTTTGCTAAACTGTGGCAATATATATAGGGAGACAAGTAAAGCGGCCTGAAAGGATTTGAACTCAGGACCTTCGGCTCTAACACCATGTGAAGGATGTGGAACTATTGTCAAGTATTCTAAAAGCTTATGCTTAATATTCTGAATATAATATATTCTGAATACATTTCGACCAAAAAAAATATATATTCTGAATACATTAATAGCCACAAAAGGGCCTCTTTGTCCACCCAGCACAAGATGTGCAAGAAGCCATCTTAGTTGCATCTCATTAACACCTCGACATCCCATGCAAATAAACTTCATGCATGTCTCTTTTTTTTTTGCCCATTACAATTTTATGGGTTTCCACAACCACGCTCGAGTCAAGATTCTCTACATGACGCAACAGACTCGAAGAAATTAAGGCTTATAGTAGATGCACAGATTCAGACTTCCATAACTTACAGTGACATTATATTTGAAGTAGACATTCAGAGCTGTTAAAAAGTAGTTGTATTCATCTCGCACTACAGGAAAGGAGCAAGTTCCGTGCTTCTCTGTGATGGAAACACAAACATATGAATAAGAGCTAGTAAATCTGCCATTAAGAAAGGTAGTTATTACAAACTGAATGCATGATTTGGACCTGCTCAACCAAGCATCCGATCATTAGAGATTATTTTTTTTTTTTTAACATCCAATCATTAGAGATCAAAATGGCAAAATGACACAGTTTCTCAAACATCCGACTGGCCAAAAATTTCTCCCAAAACCAGCAGCATTTTCAATTGACTATTGTAGTAAATAGTGATCTTGTAAGAGATCATACATGCATGACTCAGATTTACATATCCACGAAACAAACTGCCTAACTTCACTAGGCACACACAGGTTCCACAGCAATTTAGGTGGTTAAAACAACAGAGAACACATCACTAAGCAATTTGGTCTAGAAGTACCAGTCAAAAAGAAAGAATACTCTTCCTCCAATGAATTTCTTTTTTATTTTTGCTTGAGCAATAATTTCTTTCATGCATGCAAACACGGAAACTTCTTCATTTTTTCTTTTCTTTGGACCAGATAAGTGAGGACCGTAGGGGACTTGAGAGTTTTTTAGATATGGAAAGAAAACAGCTGAACAATAGTTATTTGTCTCTAACCCTTCATCCAAATAAGATTAATGCCATGCTATTATGTACTTGCGTTGGGTATAAATTCCAAGGAAAAATGCAAATATATATTAAGTATACTCAAAAATCCATTGTAAGGAGAGGACACTTACCCCACTGCCAATATGTATCAGCAGGAGCAGAAAATTGTCAGTGCAACATAGTGGTCACAGAAACAAAAGAAAAGAAAAGTAAATAATTCCACAATTAGCAGCAACCTCATGAGCCCAGAATGATCCTTTTCCACCATGACAAGTTGAAGATGAACCACAACTTAAAGATGGCCAGTATTTTTCAAGTGCATCAACCAATGTAGAGATCTGCAAATTCAAAAATCACAGGGGGAAATGTCAAGGGAGCTGCTCATGTTTTTCAAACAAATCTTCAAAAACCCCCAGTAGACAAATAGAAATAATGAAGCGACATTGCATAATCAGAAAACTATTAACACGGTTCAGCCGGATATTGAAGTATCAGAGATGTTAGTCATCATAACAAATCTGTAGGCACCTCACAAGATTCCTATGAAGAAAATAGTCAAGCAGATATTCATTGTGTTAAGTATGTTCCATCACCAACTTCAACTGTCCCAATTTTCACACCAGAAAACACATCTTTTCCCAAATTACCCAGCAAGAGCTCTCTCCCAGAACACTTTTCAAAGTCAATGCAAGAATGTGGCACCACGTGCATGCATTTTACATGCAGCTTAAAAATGACTAACCAACAAATAAGAAATGCACCTCTTTTTCGTTGAAACCAGATCGACTGCAACAGGCAGGCCAAGTTCCATCATTGTAATCGGGCCATAGTCCATCTGCCTTTCAGGTACCAAGAAAAATTTAGTCTCTCTATGTAAACTTAATGCCAACCAATACCATGTATGAGGAAGTCATGTTACAGACCCATGACAAAAACTAAAAACACAGTTGAGTTCAGAGAGAGGAAAAAGTCCTCTGTTTCGTCCGGGCAACATAAGCAATATTGAATTTTTGACATCATCGGTCATACTCACGTATGGTGAATTCAGCTGGAGCATTTGAGCTGTAACAGGAGAATAGAAGAAGTAAGGTTTCCCAGCCTAATATATGTGAGCCAGTGAAAACCCACACCACTTTAAGAAGGAGGACATTCCACATATCCAGGAACTATAAGACAGATGGTATTAAAGAAAACAAGGAAGTAAATAAATTGGATGCAATGATCAGCATGTTAAAAGGTACTTTCAGCCCCATTTTATGAACTACTTCCGTCTCGCTCAGGGCATAAATTCTTTAAAGAGTATGATCAAGGAGGATTGACAAGGCGAGACAGGGCATTGCCCAATTAAATGCCCCTCGGGGCAATTTTCACGGGAAAAGTCACCCTGTTCAGGGCAGGGCTCCATGGAGCATGGATTACCCATGCTCCATGCCCATCCCTATGCTGGAGATATTGGCCCAGAAAACATAATCACACAATTGAAATCCCATGAAATACTCCCATGAGCCAGAGTTACCATCCACAATCTAGTGCACTCTCACCAACATCTTGGGGATGCATCTTCATCAATCTAGAACTCATTGCATTCAACATCTCAACTTCTTGGTCCTCAACATGTGGGGCTATACCTTTTTTGGGCAAGTACTTTTTTTTTGCCAGAATTTTTGGCCAAGTACTTGCAAGTATATTAAGACTATCTTTTTCTGTTGAATTTGCCTTCGATGTATTCTGATTCCCATCTACCAAAGTCACAAATCCTAGTTTCTAAAGTTTTCCTTTAGAGATCCTTAATTTCACCGGATATGACAAGAAGTAATAATAGATTTCTAAGATGAATCCTAACAACATTGCTCTATGTGATTTGCCGCATAAAACCAACCCTGACACTAAAAAAATAATTCGACTTGTACCCTTTATATATCCCTGACCTCAACAGATACTTGGCCATGAGCTAATCAAGTCCAACCACGCTATACCAGGTGACATACGCGATTCCATACAGCACAAAAATGCGCTTAATACTACTCAATCGTCATTAGCAGCACTAGTGGCGCATCACTTGAAACACGTTTATTGCGCTGCACCATAAATTGATCAGAAGATTTCCATCTCGCGCATATGATTTTTTCTAGCTTCAATGAGCTGGACATAGGACTACTTTGACGTATTTCAGGCAGGTTTGACACCACTTGTTCGGCATTTAACGCATCGATACAATAGTGTCGTGACGAGCTGGTAGGCTGTCAACACGAAGCCATAGCTGAAATTCACTTGCAATTTCAAACTCGATCACCACACCAGCATAACAATCAAACACGCGGATAACACAAGTCGCAGACGGCGAAAACGAAGCCCCAATCAAAGCAAGATCAAAGCAATCGAACATCAGACACGCGCGGAGCACGAGACACGAGTCAGCGATCAAAAGGCCAAGCGCCTGGAATTAACGAGACAGGTGGAAACCGCGAATTACCCGCGGCAGCAGGCGTTGGAGGAGCAGCAATGGCGAGTCCGCCGGCAGTAGGTGCCGGGCCATTGCACCGTCAGCTTGAAGTAATCGAACTCCCTCCGGTTGCCGCCGCCGTCGTCAGCCTCTCCGGCGATCATCGCCGCCGCGATCACCGCGACGAGAACCGTCAGGCGAAGGAGAGACGAAGAAGAAGAAGCCATCGATGGAGAGACAGAGAGAGAATCGAGCGCGACAGATTCGTATAATGCACGGGGTACTATAAATACAGAAAGCAGCTGGGTCGGGAAGGGCAGAGTTGTCAGTTCGTTTGTGATTGACAGTAACGGACAAAACCCTGAGCTGGGAGCCACCAGTGGTGGAGCGACACGTGGATTGAAAGTGAGTGAAATGTCTGGTTTAGCCTTTACGTCTGGGGGACGTCTACTTTCGCTGTGTTACGGTCCAACATACGCCGGGCCTCGTGAAGATGGGCTCGGGCCGGCCCGTCAGAACCAGTTGGGCGGTTCGGGCCGGCCCGATACATTACATGATTGGCGTTTCGAAAAAATGATTGCCTATATTGCTGAAATAATTAGCCAACAAAAATATTTTCATTATCAATAACTATTTAGACATTTATGAAAATTGTATAAGTAATTATTTTTAGCAGGATGTTTCAAAAACGTGAGTCCACAATACAAACATCCCTTTTTTTTTTTTTTTCAGACGTATGCATTTTTTCTAGCCTCTATGATATGGGGTGAGCAATTGAGTCAGTTCAATCCGAAAATCGACCCAACCCAGCCTTACCTAGTTGGTTCACAAAGGGGACCGATCCAATTCTCAATTTCAAAAAGGGAAAAAACCACCAAAAACCCCAAACTTTGCCATCTGTGACACATTTACCCCGAACTTTTTTTTGTGACACCAAAAACCCCGAACTTTGCTTTTTGTGACACATTTACCCCAATGTATTTAGTCCATGGGCATTTTCGTCTTTTTTGCTTTTTCTTTTTTTTTCCTTTCCGACGAGGGGGGCCCTCGCCGGCGTCGAGCGAGGGCGGCCCTCGCCGGCGTCGAGCGAGGGCGGCCCTCGCCAGATCCGGCGAGGGCGACCCTCGCCGGCGTCGGGCGAGGTCTGCCCTCGCCTGGGCGAGCGAGGGCGGCCCTCATCCGATCTGGCGAGGTCGACCCTCGCCGGCGTCGGGCGGCCCTCGCCGGCGTCGGGCGAGGGCCGCCCTCGCTCGCCCGAGCGAGGGCGACCCTCGCCGACGCCGGCGAGGGGGCCTCGCCGGAAAGGAAAAAAAAAAAAAGCAAAAAAGACGAAAATGCCCATGGACTAAATACATTGGGGTAAATGTGTCACAAAAAGCAAAGTTCGGGGTTTTTGGTGTCACAAAAAAAAGTTCGGGGTAAATGTGTCACATATGGCAAAGTTTGGGGTTTTTGGTGGTTTTTTCCCTTTCAAAAATCGGGGACCAGCTTTAATAGGTTCAGTTCCATGCCTTGAACTATTCGGTTTTACTCAGGAAATTTGGAAGGATAGAACTTGAAATCGAACTGATTTTGAAGCGCCTTTACTCCTAACCTTACATAAATTCTTTCATTCCTTTTTTAAATAGAAAATACCCGTAGCAATTGAATATGTTCGACGTATTATTCGCAAGCAGAATAAATTGTATTTATGTTTGGCACGTACACGGCATAAAAATAATAAAACGAAACAAAAAGAGCCCGACCGATTCAAAAGTCACGGGGTCATTTTGGATCTCGAGAGCTAACAAGGTAGATTCTAGGTTTCAAATCCCGATCCGATCATCACTGACAATATCACATGACCCGCTCCATATCCAAAATTTCCCAATTCGACGTCATCGACCGCAGTCCAGAAGCTTCGAATACATTGGACTTTCCAAACTCGAAGTCAAATCAATGACCAAAAGAAAAAGACCAACATGAAGCACGAGATTGACATAAAAGGACAGCCACGACCCGAACGCTTAGCCCGACTGCGGAGGGCGTTTCCGCCATTTCCCCCGCGGCACCCGCGTCGCATAACGAGAACTCGTGGATCGCGAGGGCGCATTCCCAACAGAAATAACCACTCGCTCGTTGGGAAAAATCCCCCACCCACCAAAAGCGACCCCCAACGAAACCCTAAATCCGGAAAAGATTTCAAGCGGGAGATTCCCAACTTCGATTTTCGATCCCCTTCCGCTTCGGAAATCTGCTTCGATTCCTGCTCGCGCTCCTTGGGTTCCCGTGAATTCGCGCGGAAAAGCTCCGAATTCGTGCCGGCGTCGCGGGATCGAAGCTCCGAGCAACCCCCCGTGAGTTCTTCTTCTTCTTCTTCTTCTCCTGTCTCAGGGTCGAAACTTTTCGAAGCTGCCGCATTCGGCGGGATGCTCGTGTGATTCGATTGCGTGCGCGAGTGCAGATTGGTGGAGCCTTGTCGAAGCCGTTCGACGGGTTCGGGAGCTGGGACGGCGTCTTGAGGTTGGGAGGAGCGAGCGGGACGGAAGGTGCGAGCTGCTCAGGCGCCCGGGATCCATGCCAAAGGTTTGGTTTTCTGGCTGGCCTGAGATTGCTGGCGCGTCTTCTTGAATTGGGTCTTGTTATGCGTGCCTTCTTGGTGTGCCTTTCGGTTTGCTCGAAGTTTCTTGCTGGGTGAGTGATGGGTCAGTTGCTTCCCGTTTGTGATGCACTAGATTGGTTGCCTCCTCCTCCTTGTTGTCCTTGTCTGGTATGTGAATATAAGTTCTTGGTCTCTATTAGATCAAGTGATAATTTTGAGCGGGGAGTTCTCTGGAGGTTTTGCGCGAAGCGGTGCCTTCTGAGTGAATATATGCCTCCCGGTACAAGACTAAAGAGTAAAATGGTAGTAGTCCTCGGAGGTGGGACCTTTGTTGGACCTATGTCGATTGAGTATGGCCACTAAGGACTATCAGTAACCCCTGTTTCAGTTACCGATACTGGTAAATTTCAAGAGTGAGACCTACTGTTGCGCCGGTGCCAATAAAGCATAACCTCCTTATGAAAGGACTGTGCTTGGGCTAAACTGGAATTGATGATTGGCTTTGAAGGTGTGACTGCGTTATAAAACCACTGTCGATGGGATGGAGGTGAGAGCCGTGGTGGATGTCACTTGTGGAAAATTGGAGGATTGCTATGTAAAATAAACTTTGGTATAGGTCGTATGAGAAGCTTTGTGTCCGTCGTAGTAGTTTCTTTGACTTGTTGCTGTGATGACTAGCTTTTAGTGTTGACATCTTCAGAAATTTATTAGTTTGACAGAATCATTTTGTTTAGGTCCGCATCTGGTGTCGCTACTTGGGTTCTTACTTTTTCAATGGCCGAAATGGTTTACCTTGTCATGATAGTCCTCAAACGCTTCAATAATCTCTTGGATGTACTTGGGACAGCAATCATACAATTAGATATTGCATTGGTATTAAATAACTTTATAATTTCATACTGATGAGGATTCAGATAATTGTGCGAAAATGTATCCTAAGGGAAGCAAACTATTGTCTGTTAGCTAAAGATATTTCATGGAGCAAGTCATTGATGCAGCCCACAAGATCAAATGTGCTGATGTTGCTTAAGAATTTGATACTATTTCCAAGATTTGGTGGATTAGACTATATTGAGATATGTAACCGGATTAAGATTTATCTTTTCTATGTAATTTTTAATCTGTTTAGTTTCTTATTTAATAAATTCATTTACTGGTAGTTCTGTTTTAATCTTATTTGTACTCTAGGTAGGTTTCCTGGTATTCTAGTTTAGACAAATATATATCTACAAGATAATTGTAGTTCTTCCTTTCCAGCGTTTGACGGAGTTTACGAAATTTCCATCCCCATCCCCCTCCCTCCCCTCCTCTCTCCTTTTGAATGTGATACTTGAGCCAAACACTGTCACCACTGTCGCTGAAAAATTGAAAGAAATCTTAGGAGAGAAGTAAAAAGAGAAAAATGGGACTTCTTGTGTTGGATTATTCTGCTGGATATTTTTTTCCTAACTTAATATTTTTTTTAGTTTTGTCGATCTCATATTTATATGCTTGCAATCCTTAGGTTTCTTCATTCATTCCTCAAAATGCGCTGTTAATGCTTCATCATTCTGTTTCAGATTAATCATGGATCCTGAAGGCAAGAAGTTTGGAAGTGGTAATAAACTATTACTTATCTCTTTTTTTCCCTCCTGATATCACCTTTGTTCATCTTCTCTATGTAGTGATCGTACAGCAAAAACTTGAAGACCAGCAATTCTCTTAATTGTTTTTTTCCAAAAAGTCTCAGGCGCCCATCATGATGTGGAGAAAATGTGAATGACCATGTGATTATTATATATCAATAAATGTGGAAACAATTAAGTTCATGTAGCTAGTGAGTTGAGGGAGGAACTAGCACTCGAAGAACCACGGATCACTCCATATGGAACAAGTCTTAGGGATTGGAAGTCTACTATTGTCTACCTTTTTCTTTTTTTCTTTTGTTGCTTTTGACCTTTCAAAGTTACTTGTTTCGGTGACTTATGTCTCCAATGGAGGAAAGTTTAGTAGCCCATTATTGGTATGTTGAATTATCTGAACTTCGTGGCTTTGACTCTAAGTGTGGTGGGAGGGGCCATGAAGAATTCAACACATTTGTTGGTTTTGAATATCCTCTTCGCTGTAGAATTCTGAAATGTTTGTTTAATGTCTCCTTTCTTTATTTCGTGGGCAATTCTTGCTTTCTACGACCTAAATCTAGGGTGTTGCATTATTTGTTCTTTCTCTTTGTCATCTTTCTCTCTTGGTCTCCTTATTTCGGTTTGTTTGCATGTTGTTACTATCTTCTTTTTGCCTTCTCTTTTTTGGTTATTTAGCAATAGCATATTAAATTGTTTGACCTTCAGGGCTTAGGGAACTCACCGGTGCCATAGATCTTATCGGTCACTTCAAGTTGTTGCCCCACTATGATTATTTCTGCAAGCGGACACTACCTTTGTCAATATCTGATACCCCCTACCTTCGCAATGTTGTGGGTGATAAGACAATTAGAAAAGGAGAGGGGATGCAATTGGACCAACTTATGCAGAATACATCTTATTCTCAAGGATCCAATGTGCACATACAGCCTTTCGACCTTGAGATTCTCAGAGATGCTTTTCAACTGAAGGAAACTGCACCTGTTGAGCTTCCTCCAGTACGTATTATGATGTGCAAACTTCTTTTTCTTCAATTCAATGAAACAAATTCTTCTCCGATTGTGTAATCTTAGTTCCTTGATCCTTATGGTGCCTAAAGCACTGTCATTTAACATGTTTTGGGTGGAATGATGATTCACTTTTGTTCCTCTTTAGGAGGAAAAAGGCATACCGACAATTGCAGGAAGATCAAAAAGTGAATCAAAAGACAAAGATAGAAAGCATAAGAAGCACAAAGACAGAGATAAGGAGAAGGATAGAGAACATAAGAAGCACAAACACCGTCATAAAGATCGAAGTAAAGATAAGGAAAAGAAGAAGGATGGGAGTGGACAGCATGATTCTGGAGTTGATCCTTCAAAGAAGCAGAGTGAAAAGGTGAGAAATCTGACCTGCTTGAAAGAAGTAAAGGGCTGACAGATAAATATACTGCATATCCCGGCCTCACATGAGGTTAAAATAGTATTTGAAACGGCATTCAACTGAAGTCTTGGATTCATTCTTTTCTTACCTTGCATTTTTGGATCTTGGTGGATTATTATCCTAGTCTACTATACGAGTGAACTGAGGTATGTACTAAAAAATGCTTGATTCTGTGCTAGAAATTTTTTTCTTAATAAACTTTTGGGCAACCCAAGAGACGATTTATAAGAATTGGAATGTTGCATTATACTTATTTACAATCATAATAGAATAATATGGTACCATTTGTACATAGATGCATCTGACCTATGATTGCATCATGACAGAAAAGGAAGCATGACGAAGATGAAAATCTTAATGACATCCAGAAGCATAAGAAAAGCAAGGTAATTACAAATGCTCAACACATTTTACTTTGGCTTCAGGACAGTTGCTTGATCTTGTCATCTTTCTTTGATGTATTACTAGTGTTCCGGCACATGCTGAGCTCAAGCGCAGTTAAGTGATTGCGTGAGGGTAAGAAAATGAGTAGTATATACTAGGAAGTGATTGAAGTGGGAAGTTATTGGAGTTATGTTAACTACGTTTCATTCTTTAATGCAAGGCTGATTTTGGAAAGCTAAAAGTGAGACAAAACCCATTATTAATTTAGATAGTTCTTTCTTTGCACTTTTGAATGAGCCATCCTTTCGCTGATATTTGCAGCATAAGAGTTCAAAACTTGATGAGGTTGGTGTGATAAAGGTTGCTGGCTGAGAATGTGGCATGCTGTTGCTCAAGTATTAGTCTTTAGATGTTAACAGCAGCTTGGAGGGATTTTATTCCTATCAGATTACTTGAGGTATGCATAGATAAAGTGCCTTGTAACTCGATGTTGCTTTGATTTGCTTTAAATTTCGGTTTTGACTGATTGGACAAAATAGTATTTTCTGTGGGCTGATTTCACATTAATTATTATAATCTGGATTATAATTAAGAGGAATTTTTGTTTCAAAAGGGACTTAATACCTCCTCATGGTTTGATGAAATATTGCCTGATTTTCTTAAACCGTGGCAATTGGGATAATCAGTTATTAGAAGCTGAGAGTAGTTACTACATGCTGATGTAGCTCAATTATTGTTATTATTCATGTCATATGCACTCAGGGATGGATGCGGGCGCAAAAACACGGGGAAAATAGATGTTATATTTTAGAAGATGTACATAAATTACTTAAAGAAAATTAAAATTGGAAATTATGACTTTTTTTAAATTATTGTATTTGTATTAAAAAACACTTATAATAATACTGAATTTGGACATGATAAATCGTTGAATTAAAAATCATTCATGGTATTTTTATTTGATAGCCATTCCAGTTATTAGGAAAACACTAAAAAGAAGAATCTATAATTTATATATAATGCAAGCTCAAAGGAGGATTTCAACCTCAAAATTTTTCTAAAGAAATTCATGAAAGCCCATAGAAGTTGTTGAGATGAACTTTTATTTTGCAATCGTGGAAAAAATTTAATTTAAATTTTTAATTTGAATATCTAACGAGTTAATCAAAAAGTAGTTCCTAAAATCTTTCTTCTTCTTTTTCGGTCAGAATTCCTAAAATCTTTCATTTTTCCAAACTTGAAATGTTTTTCAGATTTACAAAATCTGCGTTAATTTGTCTGAAATATATCTAACCTTCACATTATATCTCTTTCTTTACTTATTTAATTTTTTTTCTCGTTACTTTGACTTTTTATTTGATAATCATTCTAATTATATGACAACAAAGAGAAGTTTATAAGCAAAATGTTCATTTTAATGATGAATATGATGCTTCATTTGATTTTTAATGTAGCTCATGACATAAAATAAGCACCTAGTGAGGATAACTTACCAAATAAAGAAAGAAAGAAATAACTATGTGAAATTTTATATTTGTTTTCTAAAATTTTGTTGACAATAGTCTTGGAAGGATTTGGTAGAGAGAGAAAGTGAGAGAGAGAGCTTGGCGGGAAAAAACAGGTGGACCACGGCAGATATAGAGCTTATAATTGAAGTAGGCTTGGGGGGGTGGGGAGGCGCATGAGCCCAATGTTTCACATAGTTGAACCACCAGTTGTACAAGCCTATGTATAAGTAGAAGGCTTTTCACAATTCTTGGGGGACCATGGCCCCTACGGGGCCCCTCTTGGATCCATCATTATGTGCCCTTTTGCAGTTGGCTTGGTTGTTAATGCAGATGGAGAGTTGATTGATAGATGTGCCGACAGCAAAGGTTTTGGATTTAGTCGTTGGATTTCCTCTGCAGGATATCTCCAGGCTCCAGCTATGAAAATAGATTGCGTGTGTTTTTGTGTTAGGAGTAAGTTGCTCGAGGATGCTTGTTCCCTTTGGCGGCCCCTGAAATACTATCTCAAGTCTATCCTTGAGCCTGCAGTAGCTTCTCCTCTTGCAGAACTGATCTGATTGCTGTTCTTGAAGAATTGGTAGAAATTGCTTGCTGTAGTTTTATTTACCTTACCACTTGAGCTGTTCGTGCATCCTACATTTATGCGAGTAATTTAGTTGCTTATCCATAACGGGACACGTAGCTTTCAAAATACTTTTCATTATGACAAGACAAGGTGGCGATTATCATGAATTTCAACCGTTGGTGAAACTTCGTTGTTGTTTTGAGCTCTTCCTGGGCAGAAGGAAAAACTCACAGGTCTTGGCCTCCTTGTGCAGGTCAAATGTCGGTGGGCAGGAGTATAACCTGCAGACGACAGAGATTGCCGGAAAACGGACTCTGTTTTTAAAGGAGGGCTTTGTAGATCTCATGTGCTCTCCTCACTCTTTGTGGCTAATTCGACGTCGAAGACTCAAAATTTTTTACATTTAATTATCTGTTTAGGAGATGCTTAGTGCTGTGAATAGATCATCAGCTTTTTGGACTGATGAATAGGATTTGGGGATAAGAGGGGATGTTGTGCATGCTTTTATCTTTCCCCTTATGTTGATGTAAATGACTCTACGTCTCGTCAATTGTTGGCAACTTGTATATGTGAGGTCTTATGGTGGCATGTCATCAAATGAACTATTCATTTTTGTAAGATTATTAGTGGAAAGCTTTGTGTGCGCGATGCATGGTGTTTAAAGTTGTGTCCGTTCATGTGGTCCTACAACGCCGTAAAATCGATGTAAATTCAATAAAATGTTGTGTCCGTATAGTGTTTATTTAAAATATGTATTATCGTTTGAGCAAACACAGGAACTTTTGCCTAGCACTAATGGTTGTTCGGTTTTTGATTCCGCAAGGGTTACGTTCCTAAAGTACATTTGCTTGATCCTGTTTGTTGAGGGACTCGTAAATCTATGTATGACTTGGTGGGATAATGTCAATATCGTAAATTTAGAAAATTATGAATCTGCCATTTAATTTGTATGTCTATTATTAATTATTTGTATTTCTAAAAGAAAAATGACACGAATGGTTCATAAACTTACTTTGATTGATGTACAACGTGTCTTTCAGTTTTCAATTTATTCAACATGATTTATGAACTTTACTCTAGTATGTAATGTAGTAGCTGCATTTTTTAACCTGTTTAATGTCGTTCTTGGACTTTTGGTAAATGCTCATTTTAGTCGTTGCACTGACTAAAATGAGCATGTACCAAAAGTTCAGGGATCACACTGAATTAATTAAAAATGTAATTATCACATTATATATTAGATTAAAGTATAGGGATTATTTGTGTCATTTTTACCCTTTTTCGAAAGGATCCAAGCGCGTTGCATTCGCCAAACGCTCGTTAACATGCGAGGGCAAAGCCGGGTCATGGATAGGCCCGATTCCAACTCGAGATGCGGCCGTCCAACGTCGTTTTCGGGAGAAGTGGACCGTGAAGACCTTGGGCCAGTGAGCCGGCATTAAGCGGATCAGCTTCGGGCCTATTGGGCTTCTCATAGTTGTCCAGGCCCGTCCTATCGTGCTCCGGGCTCGACGGGCCTGAAATTGGGCCGTCGGCCCGCGATCAGGTCAACCCCGTCGTCTCTAGACTCGATCGGGCGTCGCAGCAACGGCAAAACCTGCGCACTTACCGAGAGCGAGCGAGGCCGAGGAGGAAGACGAGGGTTGTTGGTTGAAGTGCAAGCAGTAGTAGTAGCAGCAGCAAGAATGGCGAGATCGACGGGCGACGACGCTCAAGCTCTTCTCCACTCCCTCCGCTCCGCTTACGCCGCTACTCCCAAGAACCTCAAGGTGGGTCCATCTCTCTCTCTCCCTCTCTGTGTGAAGAGGATTTTCATTGACGTGACTGCGTTCTTGCTCTTTTGCCGATCCAGATCATCGATCTGTACGTGGCCTTCGCCGTCTTCACAGCCCTGATCCAGGTACGTCGCCGATCGATTCGCCTCCCCTGCTTAGGCCTCGTTTTCACATTCTGATTTCCTTTCGTGGGAGGAACCCCGCTCGTTTGTAGGCTTTCGGTGGAGATGGCGATCGGGGGCTTCTGTTTGATTTTGAGTTTTGTCTGTTTTTTTCGCAGTTTCGGATGAATTGCTCTGTTTCTCGGGTGATACGTGTGGTTAATGTCTTGGAACTATGCTTAACTGGGTGCTCTGGGTGCTCGATAAGAAGTCTCGGTTTCGGTTGTTTGTCTGTTTTAGTAGTATGTATTCTGAAGCAAATTAGCTTTTAGAGTAAGAGAGCAGCAGATGAATATCTGGTGCGAAGCAATTGCGATTGCAATTGTTGGAAGGAGAATAGAATTGATTTCGCTTGCGAAAGTACACTGGGAACCTGTTTTGCCTTCTTGGTTGTGATCTTGAAATGGAGGGACTTGTTTTTAGCTGAGGACATTGAATGAGGAAGAATTTAGGGGTAGCTTTTGGTGATGAAAAAGGAGTAAATTTTACGGACAAGCATCGATTTAAACGTGAGCTATCACGCATTTCTGTTGCCTGCCACTAGGGCATTGATACTAAGTGGGGACGTGGGTCTCGCTCTTTGCTAACTTGCCTTTTTGTTTTTTTCATTTTCTATTGATTCTGTCTCGCCGATGGTTTTGATTAAGTACAAAATTGGTGGAGTGAGTCAAATCTTGAGAAATTTTGAGTGGGTGCTTGTTATATTCTGCACATGTGAAGAAACTTGTTCAATGTCCGTCTCACACTCATAAATATGCCTGCCTGGCTTGCAAATTTAAGTGATTTTTTTTTTTTTTTGAGATAGAATCACGATCTCTGGAGTTTTGACTTGCACAACTCGTACTCCTCTCTTTGGGAATTTGCTGATAGCAAGTCTTCTCCTGAACAGGTTGTTTATATGGCTCTGGTTGGCTCTTTTCCTTTCAATTCATTCCTGTCTGGGGTCCTTTCTTGTATTGGGACGGCTGTCCTGGCTGGTGAGTAGGACAGACTCGCTGTATTGATGCTATCAATTGGAACCTTTTTTGGATATTCATATCTGAATTGCTTTGGTTAATTGGCTGCAGTTTGTCTGCGTATCCAAGTGAACAAGGAGAACAAGGAGTTCAAGGTAACCTTCCATCTGTGCAACTTGTTTGTCATTATTCCCACCTCACTATTGCAAACTTCGTGACAATACTCTACCGAAACACAGCGATAGCTTAATATTTGGTTCTAACTTAACTGATGTTGCTTATCTCATGATATGCAGGATTTACCACCTGAGCGTGCTTTCGCAGATTTTGTTCTCTGCAATTTGGTGCTTCACTTGGTGATTATGAATTTCCTCGGTTAAATTGGAGCCAGGGGTTTTGCAGGACGTACATTGCTTGAGGAGCGATCGAGTAGTAGTTAAATAACTAGTTGCTGATTCATTTTGCTTTAATGGACTGTGAGGTGCAAAGCTAGTGATATCTGCTGAATTACAGACACTTTAAACTTGAGGATTTTGTGGTGCGACTGGAGAGCTGAAATTTGTGTTCTTGTTTATGAGGTACACCAAGAATAGAATGATTTTTCTTCTGCCAAGAACTCCATAGCTTGCTTTATCTTATTTTATTTTATTTTTGTTCAAAAATAGCTTGCTTTATTTGATTACCTTAGTTTTGTATCGTGGTTGCGCTAAGTCTGCTGACATCTGGTGCAGTCAGGGATGTCAATGGGCTGTGTCGGGTTTTTATAAGTAATCCAAACTTTTCTGTTCTGGTCAGCTGGGTCGGTTTCGGGTTATCTTGGGTGTCAAGGACACCCCTGGTTCTCTACAATTCCAGTTGCAAAGCAAATTTCGATGGGCTTAGCTGATTCCCAGTGCCGCTATGAATGAAGGGATTGTGTCTTTCTGGATTATATACAGGGCCAGTAGTTTGGGACGTGGGCAATTTTTGCCATCCTTTATTCGGTACTCTTCGGAATGATTTTTGGCTTACTCTATTATTAACGAGATAGACTCAATTCACCACAAGTACAAACTCTCTCCCTTTAGCAACTGATATTGAAGATTAGGATAAGAAGGGAGGGGGAATCTTCTTTAGGTTGGTGACTTTTAACAATGGTGAGGGGGAATGCATAGTGTATATGTAATGTCAGTTGATCTGATCATTGTCCGTAGTCGTTAAAAAAGATAGTGCTGGTGCTGGATATACTAATTTAATTGCCTTTAGCTTTCCCTGGACTTCTTGTCATCGAAATGCTCTAAATCATTCGTGCAGTATGGATGGATACTGTAAACTTGCTCTCGCTTTCTTTGCTTTCAAATGTTTCTTTTGCTAGCCCTGCTAGTGATGCTGTGGTGGAGGATCGATACCGTCTCTCTATCAGAACTCGTTAGGTCCGGCTCGTCACGCCTGTGCCTCTCTCGACCTCCCCAGGAGGGTACTTTGGGATATAATTCGTACCCGCGAGAGATCGTTCCTCAATGCATGGACCTTTGTGGGTATGAGTGCCGAAGGTAACTGATTGGCACATCCAAGTTAAGTTAATGTTCCCTAGTTAGGAAGTGTGTATGTTGGTACAGTGAAGTGAGTTCCTAGAAGCTCACCACTTGAGAACCCTGCGACATTGTGATTCTCTTGTTGGGATCTTTCTACATTGTTTCCCTTCAATTGATACCACCTTTCTATCAATTTTAAACAAATCGTTTGGACTCCGCTGGGAAGCATGCAACGACAAGGAAACCAAACGAGAGTCCATAGTTGTTCCCATGTGAAGATGGGAGCTTGGTTGAAAGGGACATGCTATTGGTATCATTGATTGTCACGACCTCAATTGCCCATGAAAACAAGACAATCAAAAAGTCAATGACTACTGGCGATTTCATTTTTCATCCCCTTCATGCCTTTGAAGCGTGATAGAATTAGATTCTTTAAAGTCTTATTCATTGGTAGTCCATGTCCGTGTACTCTTTCCTTACGAGTACTCGGGTTCAATTGGTCAATGGTTGATCCGCCCGACTAGAAAGTCGCGAGTCCTTCAGGGTACGGTACGAGGATGCGGTACATGAACCGATCGTGTGGCCTATGGTGAATCTTGTACGTGAACCGATTAGGATACATAACGAAATGTGCATACGTATTGCTCATTGTCTCCAGAGGGCCTTGCGCCTCCTTCAGCGGGTAAGTTTCTCTTGTAATTCAATTCTACTGCATTAAACCGATCGCGTCTAGAAAAAGATTTGCGGACTTTGCGATTCAACTCAAGTGGAGGAAAGAGCTTGGAAATTAATGATAGGTATGACGGGATCAAATTGCTCAAGGAAAACACTTCCGTTTATTTTACTCAGATATCATCATTAGGATAAATCATACTAAATCATAATCTATCGTAGAGCAAGAATCACACGAAATTGATATTTGGAACTGCACACTAAAAACTCCCCCCCAGCAGTATTGATACTGTTATCCACTTAATCGAACTTGTCGAGACGTCAACCAAACAAGTCTATATCACCAGCACTTGAAGTACTCTTATGAAATCAATCGAGCGTCACCGGCTATCACAAACGCTTTTGCATCATCGGATCCGTCGTACCTCGCATTATTCTCTCCTGTAGATGAAACGCCATTGCAACATAAATCGGTGGGCATGAATTTCCATCTCCTGTTGTCCTTTCCCCCTTGTTTTCCCCTTGTTCATTTGCCTCTCCTTTTAACCTTTGCTTTTGGTAGGTATCCTAGCAAGTCTATTCGCCATTCCAAAAGGCATCTTCTTCTTTTTTCTTGGCATGGTGGAATTAGGAAAGAGAAAGAAAGGGAAGAATTTTCACCCCCCCCCACTCAATCTAATCGAGAAAAGGTGCGTGGTGCTCATATAGATTCCCCTCCAAAGCACACAAAAAAAAGGATGAAGATACTCGATGACATTCCATTAGATTTCTCTTCACTTTTGCAGGAGTTTTTTGCTTTTCTTGGTGTACATAATGCCACGCACCAGCAAGACATCTTATTTTGCATGTTTACACATGTTTGTCTTAAGCTATCGCATGTCGAATGAATAGCTTCCCCTACAGTTTTTTTTCTAGCATGTGGGTATCACTTGATTTTGTTTATAGATGGACTCTGAGTTCCATGCCAGATTCACTAGCATTCTGTGCACTTTCTCAAAGCTTCTTATCCTTGTTCTGTTGAGTGGCCGTCAGTACCTATTTCGCATGAGCAATTGCAAATCTAGACTGCTCGGTGTTTGGTGCAATTTTCGACGAATATAGTCGATAATTTACGAAACTTCGTATGAAGTTTTTATAGCCCCCCACCTGAACCCCTCGAGTAAGGGCATTGCGATTTTTCGGACAGCTGATATGAGTTTTCCACTTTCGTCGATGAGCAAAAAGAAGGGCTTGGGAATTCGTGCCTCTGTGATTTAATCGTGTCGTGTCGAGCTCAGATCTACAACTCAAAATACAACAAGTTTACGAAACGGATTGCTCGGCAACATGTCCCGAAAATGTTTGAGACAAAATTTCTTATATGGACGTGTAAAAATATGTTTAGATAGATTAACTAGTCCGAATGTATCTACACAGTTTATATTAATATCATATACAAAACATAATAACCTGTATAATCAAACGTGCTCAGGTGTGTCGTAAACGGGTTGAAAGAGCCAATTCGCGAAAAACCCCACATTAATTACTCGTGTATAAAGGGGTCACCCATTTAAGACGAGCACGATTAAGCTCAATTCGGACACGCTTAACTACGTATCGTGGCGATCGAAACGTGCGAAAATCTGTCGGCACACTAAGCACAGCACCGACACACTGTCCTGATCTGATTTCTCAGGATCAAAATGTCATGTGAATGCCAATGATGAATGAATTCATTCATCAGTCGCGGGTGGATTCTGTAATCGATTCTCTCCATTGATGACGGATGAGAAATCACAATGTTTTTTTCGCGAACGTTTGCAGCAAAAAGCTACGAATGTTTCAAGTGTTTTCTGGGAAGATTTGCAGCAGAAAGCTATGAATGTTACAAAGTGACAGCATCCATGCACATCTCTATAAGGAGAAAAAAAAGTGGGAGATGGGCAATTATCAGAAATATCAATCTCTCATATATTATAGGGTTAATACCACGAAAAATCCTAAACTGGTACACTTGTGACACATTTACCCCAAACTATTTTTTGACCATAAAAACCCCAAGAGTCACTGTGACAATTTTACTCGAACATCCAAAAACCCAGCCAGTCACATGTGACAATTTTACCAACTAATTTTTAATATTATTTTTTTATTTTTCTTTTCTTTTCTTTTTTTTTTCTTCACTTCAACCTCGGCGGTCGCCGGTCGCGGCGCCGCCAGAGGCGAGCCGCGAGGGCCGCCCTCGCTCGACTCGGCAAGGGCGACCCTCCCCGGATCTAGCGAGGGCCGCCCTCGCCCGACACCGGCGAGGGCCGTCCTCGCCCGCCCAAGCGAGGGCTGCCTCGCCCGAAGCCAGCGAGGGCAGCCCTCGCCCGACGCAGGCGAGGGTCGCCCTCGCCTGAGTCAGGCGAGGGTCGCCCTTGCCTGGGCGAGCGAGGACAGCCCTCGCCCGACGCCGGCAAGGGCAACCCTCGCCCGACGCAGGCGAGGGTCGCCCTCGCCGGCTTCCGCCTTTGGTCGGTCGCCGGACTGGCGACCGGCTAGAGGTTGAAGATAAAGAAAAAAAAAATAAAAGGAAAAAAATAAAAAAATAATATTAAATTCGAAAAAAATAATATTAAATTTTTTTTTTAGGGTAAAATTGTCACATATGTACCAGTTTGGGGTTTTTTGTGGTAAGTTCAGGGTAAAATTATCACGAGATGTACCGGTTTGGGGTTTTTGATGGTCAAAAAAATAGTTCGGTAAAATTGTCACAGGTGTCTGAGTTTTTATGGTCAAAAAAATAATTTGGAGTAAATGTGTCACAAGTATACCAGTTTAGGATTTTTCGTGATATTAACCCTATATTATATGATCCTTTTGCTTGAATAAAAGCAACCAAATGGCCAAAAGGTCAAAAAGGAAGTGGGGTCCACGTCGGACCAATTACTAAAGCAAAGCTTTTATTAAAAGACCAAAAAAGCTGTTTGGTCATGTCCCTCGAATTATTAAAATCTGAATCGTTTTGGTGGTCTATATAAAATTGGGTATTCGAAAGCAATTCCACTGCTAGAACTTACTCGATCGATATTTAAAAATCATGAACGAGAAGGTCGTTTTTATATGTTTAAATTTTGGGGGTCCATTTTTCTTCAATTGATTTTGAAATCTGAATCCACATCAGATCCACATCAGATCGTATTTTTTATTTGGAAGTGAGAGAAGTGGGAGGAGGGAAGAGGCTATGGTGGCGCGGGTTTATTAAACTCGAGTCGAGGCTTACCTAGAAGGGTGGAATCGATCGATCAAAAATCAGATCTTAAAGAATATATTTCAATTAGAGGGGGAGGAAAACATGACCCGTAGCTTATGAGTTAAATGAACAAGATTCGCAGTTCATGAACTTTACAGATGGAAAATCATCTCTACACAATTTTGCACTCATAAAAAGTTAAGAGAA